AATTAGACGAAACACACCTAATATTAACACAAAAATTGATACTATGTTTCAAATGTTCCATAGTAACTCTACTGATTGTACCATTGTTACCTTGATAGTACCTCCTAGTGTTTCTAAGCTACATGACAACAGTATGGTTACGATCTTACAGGTATAAAATGCACTAATGAGTTATATCGTAAGTCTTTTCTTCATTTAGTTATTTCTCTTTTGAGATTTGATCCTTCGTTTCCTAACTTCAAAGCCTATCTCAACCATACTTCGACTTCGCACTTTTTCATGTTCTGTATTAATCAAAATGAATCGCGTCAAAGGTACTTGACTTTCTTGCCGCTTCAATAAACTGTCGATTTGGTCATGTATCTTTAATGTTTGATCAAAATATATAAAGATATACCAATCAAGATTAAAAAAAGGAACTTGAAGATTCACAAGCAATTTAAATTAAGTTATTTATTTTTATTTCATTTTTCTTTTTATTTCATGCCAGTTTCTTACTTTTTCTTTCAACAATTATTTACCCTCATTCTCGCAAACTCCGAAACTGAACACGGCAACGATCTTACCTCCAGACACATCGACACATCCACAGACATGTACAGCATCACACAATAGCAACCTCCCAATAACAGTCGTATAGATCACCAACACTCGATGAATTCGAGACCAACAGTCCTTCACAGGCGTGTCTCCCGTTTAAGCCGCCCAGGAAAGATAAGTTTTTCTCACATGCTTCAAAGGGTGATCCCGTTGTTGCTATGGAAAAGATTAATAGAATCCATACCTGATGTGAGGTATGGATAAGGTTATTCAAATCCAAGAGATAAAATATTGAGCAGGATACCCGAAGCTTTTCCGAGGGTCTTTTGCTCAATATTTTATCCCGAGGGTTTGAATTACCTTATCCCGTCTCACATCAGGGTTGGATTATATTTCTTGCTTTTTACCTAAAACCCATAAAAACAGCTGCTCTTCTAGTACAGTTGTAAACTGTCCACACATTTCTCATTTGCATCTGCAGTACGGATGGCAATTGTTAAAGACGTCAATGACCGTGACTGTCTCCAAAACGTCATAAAATGATGTCACGAACAATAGTGTGACCCCGAAAGGTTACTGTAATTCCCCCGCCAGCCTAAGCGACCCAGACCCGTGGGTTGGATAGAATTTTCTCCCACCCTTCACAGGCGTGTCTCCCGTTTTAGTCGGGAAAGATCAGCGTGTCATCCCCTAGGGGGAGAAAGCCTCGTGCCGATTAGCACTTGTTCAATTGTGACGTCATTAATATGCATCACCGGTAATTGTGACGTCATCAAAAGTGAATGACGATATCCATACCCCATTTATATGTGTTTTTGTTTACAAACATGGCAGACTACTGTCGGTGGAGTTGTAACTGAAATAATAGGATGGGAGAAAAAGAACCATCCCCTATCTTGAGGGTGTCACAGAGAAATCTATTAGTCCACGGAACAGACCCATGTAAGATTCTATTAGTCATACGAACACTAGAACATGAATATTCCTATCCATGGTACTTTTAACTCCTTTCTTCTAACACATTACTAACAAACAAAAACCAATCCAAATACAATGCATACATAATTTTTTTTATAATACGCTGCCCGTCCACCTTGTCTATACACTCTGTACATCATTATTGAAGACTGTTAATATTAACAAATTTATACCACGTATTACCTTACCAAATTATCCTTAAATAGGGCAAATGTGATAGATGTTCTGCTGTGCGTCACGAACGCTATTCACAACTGGCACACTATACTATTTAAATAGGTTTTTTTCTTTCTAGTATTTTTTTCTTTCTTTTTTGAGTTATTTGGTGATATAATTTCATTGATACAGAAAAAAATGTCCCCAGCACTTTATGTATGTCAAATATCAATATATTCTCTAAAACCAACAAAAATCCATCAGTAATTGTGTACGTGTTCAAGCATTTACCTTTAAAATAACAATCAGTTTTCACCTGCTCTGTCTATGGCCAATGTTATAAAGGGGCAGGGTACATGTCGGTATTGTCACAAGTCAGCGTCGAGATGTTCATTTTAAACTTGACCGACTTTTTAAAACATTTCACCACTTGCTGTTAACGTTAGCAATTTCTAGGTACATGTTGGTGTTGGTATAAGACAGCGTCGAGATGTTCGTTTTAAACTTGACCGATATGTATTCACCCCTTGCTATTCTCGTCAGCAATAAGTTACCTGTACATGTTGGTATTGTTATATGTCAGCGTCGAGATGTTCATTTTGACCGAATTGTTAGCAATTCCTACTGACGTACTGCATATACCTGGATAGGCATGTGAATATGTTTGTATTATCTGCAATAAAATTACATTAGCAGAGACCGTAGACAATCTGTATTATCAGCTTAATTTGTTCAAAGACGAATGTGACAAATATGTATCACATAAATGGTTTTTATATTTATGTTTATACAGGACCCCGATTCCTAAACTGATTGAAATTCGGGTATGATAAAAAAAACCTCACAATATTGTAAAAATGATTTAATAACCTCGGAGTCACCATTAGTAAATCGGTTTAGTTTTCTGTAACAAAGCCTGTACTTTCATCAAAATGTATAAAGACGATGTAAGAAGCCTAAAAGTTCGGTGTCAGAATTGTAGGATAAACATGTTGTTCACTGATTGTTACACGGATTGGAAGTATTGAGTTTCATCCCCATTCTGTAATTGGAAGAGTACATCTTAAATTGTAAACTTCTTCACGTTCTGAAATCCTTAGCTCCGGGCCTTTTTGAATGCGGAGATCAAGGACGATATCCGCAACATATTGAAAGATTTCACATTTGACTTAATTGGTTATCCAATAATATATGTAATTTATACGAGCGTGGTTTGAATTCATTATTTAATCCAGATTTTATATAAAATGCGAACTTAGTTCTTATTGATCAGTTTAAGCAAAATTGGCCTACGATAAATGGCGTGTAGTATGCTTTACAAAACGATTATTCCATTATTTCGGAAATAATTCTGGTGGACTTTTAAAAAAATATACGTTATGACCTTATGCCGACAGGATGACTTTTCTTTACCTTTAGAAATGGTCACTATATTTTTGCTTGTAACTCCTTAAAGAACGCACACAGACAATGTGCTCCTCCGAGAAAGATTAAATGTATTCAAATTTCGGGAGAGAGAGAACACACTTCGATAAAGAAACCTTTAAAATATATTGTATATATGATAATGGGTTTCATTGGGATAAATAATTCAACTTCCTCCGGTATCAATCATGCTTTGACACAATTTGAAAGCAGATGAGGTAACCTGTTAAAATAATCATCAAGTAATTCCATTAAAACTCATCCATGTATATATAATATGTACCTATGTGCAACGTCAGTATCAACAAGCATTTCCCTTGATTAACAATCCAGTTCTAAAATTAACTATACACATTGGCATATGATCGACACTATTAAGGATGTGATAGCCATTTTCCAATTGAACTTGAGACTTTGTTTGCATTTTTATATGTCTTTTAACACCGTTTAAAAGTATCTTTCCCCGCATTAAGAGTGAGACAGGATATAGTTGCTTGAGTTGTAAGATTAACAAATATCTCCCCCGACGCAGGGTCCGCTTAAGGCACGACATGTAACAATGTTTCCCAATATTGTTAATTCAAGTTGCTTCTTAAGTATGTACATGTACTCTTCTGAGGTTTAAATCACGTTCAAGTCTCGTTTTGATCTGGTGTAACAGGTATTTTTAATATTTAACAAATGACCAATTCGGCGGCCTTTTTGAGAATGTGTATTAATGTGTATTTCTTGCGCTTCACAAAAGGCCAAAATTTCACCTTTTTTGAAATTAGATTGATCACTTAAATTGTCATTGTGTCGCCATTTTTGAATGTAGCAGGTTTAATTTTGCTATACAACTTTATTAAGTTCAATATGATAAAATAATATGTAACCAAGTGAAAAATCATACAGTATTTGTATTATTATTTTTACATATTTAGTGTAACTGAAGCACTTTTGATTTTTGACCCCGAAACAGGTGCAAAATAACACAAATAATAATGGGACAAAAAAAAGAACTACACGAACCCCCCATTTGTGTGGCTGTTTTAGAAAGAGAAACACATTTTGTTTTGGTTCATTAAATATTAAAAAACAGTTTGATAGCAGAACTTTTTATATCAAGCATTTAATCTGCAAAAAATGGTGAACAAATGAGTGTTTTTTCATTAAAAAACAAGGGGTAGGGGTAACTTAAATCGCCTTTCTGAGTTAAAAGAATAAGATTAAGAATTTTTACTTCCATAATTTAAAAGAAAATAATATTTTCATCAATTCTACAAACATTCATACATATCTGATTACACACTTGGAAGAAATTGTATGAATTTGTTCTGCAAATAGTAAAAACCAAAATAATTCACCTAACATCACATATTGTGTTAACTTGGTATCTTTGACCGATCATAGCACAAAAACGAACACACCGACATATAGTTTATTTTGCATTTTCTGCTATGCCATTAACTCCTTTTTCTAAAAATCCATACAAGAAAAAAAAGTTTAATACAGGAATCGTTTGACTTCTCAGAGGTGTACATCCTTAAACACTATTTCTCTGTTGATAAACACTAATCATTTCACTCGCTTCCGGCTCAGCGTGTGTAGCTTGTTTGTACCTTTGAGTTTGACAGAGATATAACACAATGGTATACCGTACATAAACCTGACTGAGGCGGGGCAATATGTTGTGTCCTTAAAGACATAGTTGAGTTTTAGGAGGTCACTGCCAAGGTCAAAGTTCCATAAAAATAGATTTATTATAAAGAAGTTTATGGAAATCCCGAAGCACGTGTTATAAACGTGCATCGGTTATGCATGTTCTACAAAAATGTGCTCCGTCTCGTTCACAACCGGACATGGACACTAAACAAATACAGAGTGTCGATCTACTGTTTAAATGACTATTTTTACTTCAGGTAAAACTCCTGTTGAATAGAGGATGACCAAAGCACTGAGTAAGCAACAACGGACATGGAAAGCGAGAGAGAAAGTTCACTTCCGGTAGACAGAGGCTGGGCGTGGACCGTGCTTGCAGGTAAGGTTACTTTTATTAATCCTTGCTTCTTGAATGAACATCTGAGGCAAAACGGATTAAGAAAAAAATCTATGAAACATTATTACTGTACGCATAAGGTTTTACTAGCTCTTTCTACCAGTATATGTTATGCACAATAAAATAACTTTTATCTTCTCTTGTTGGCAGGCTCAATATCCGTTTACTTCTTCTATGCCGGGGTATTAAAGTCATTCGGTATTCTGTTTGTTGAGTTTCTCGACAAGTATCAGGAAAGTGCAGCGGTTACCGCCCTTGTGTCTGGTCTGGAGTCAGTATGTTTTACGATAGCGGGTGAGTGTTTAAGTATTGTGAATGTTGTAGCGTACACTTTGTAACTGCTGTGAAGTTAACATGTCCTCAACTTCGAGTTCAAAAGCTACTGGTATATGAAAAACAAAAATATATTTGCTAATTTCAATAACATAACACCTCACATTTATGATTTGTCGTAGAATGGAATTCAAAAGCAGTCACTATCAATGGCATTTATGTTTTCTATTTTCTGTTTTTATTTATGATTTATTCATTCATTTTCAATCATGTCGGTTATATGTTCACCACATGTATAATATATAGTATTTTGTTATAGAGGTTTATATCCGTGTAGATGATATTACATTTATGGGACAATGAAGTAATTCCAGCAGTGTAGATAATATAAGATCGAGATACAGAAACAAACACAGATAGATATATATGTTTTAGTCGTTGAAAAATATATTCAGTTTTTCTTAGTTTGTTTAACCATCTTTGTGTCATAGCACTGATGTCCTTGACCGTTGGCCTGAGGTACGCGAACTGTCGGACACTTGTCATCATAGGTGGCCTCTTGATGGCCTCGAGTTTTGTGCTCAGCTGCTTCGCGCAGGATGTTTACTTCCTGTTAGTGTCCTACAGCGTCGTATACGGTGAGTAGGACAGCATTTGGTTAAACTAGGAAGACGCAAATATCGCGTTTCCAAAACGCATATGAAGTAGGTTTATTTAACTAAAGGTTCATTTATATAACTTAAACAGAAGAACGCCTTTTCCCCTTGTAGTACTTGGTTCTATTCTACAGTAAACTCCCGTCAAGCAATCAACATCTTTTCTAAGTATTAGTGACTGGATTATTAAATGTGACTAAATACAATGAAATAACCAAAGTATTGGTGGCTGAATCAAATAGGCGTCATCGTATGTGAAACAGATTTCTCTGTGATTACATATGCTCATACCTTGAATGTTTTAAGTACACACATTTTGGTGTACATGTATCTACCATCACGTGCAGTGTTTAACCCCCTGATGCGTCAACGTGTTTTAATGCATCAAAATAACATGTGATACACCGCAGTGGGAGTAATGTCTAGTATAATGTGTATCTGTTCCACCACTCCAAATCTTTGTAATAAACAGCAGTGATGTGTACCATAACATGTATTTGTTTCAAAATTGCATCATTTCGATGTCTGTCATGAATTGATATTTTCCACTCGACAGGTTTTGGACATGGAATGGTCTCGGGTCCAATTCTATGTATCCTCGGTGATTACTTTGACACGAAACGTGGAATTGCAAATGGAGCCGCTATGTCAGCATGTAGTGTCGGCGGGCTATTGTTCGCCCCTCTGTGCCGCGCTCTACTCGACGAGTACGGACTCCAAGGAACTCTCCTTATTTACGGTGGATTGTTGTTCAACTGTGTGGCTGGAGGTGCATTGTTGCGACCGATAGATTTTTTCTCACTTGATAAAAGACGAGCGAAACTGAAAGCTAATAAACGTGGTAAGAAAGGAAAGGGAGCAAAAAAGCCAGAATCAGAAGAGAAGAATGGAAATTTATCAAAGAGTCTACCACTATTAGATACCGAGGAACCGTTCAGAGCTAGGTCTCCAACGGCCGATTCAACATTTTCACCATTAGCACGAAGAGCTATGTTAAAAAGAATGCGTTCAAGGACAGAGTCTGAGGTAGCTACTCAGGAACCTTTGCTTTCACCAATAACACCATCGCCAGAACAGCCCAAAGTAGTAACGCCCCAACCAAAGGCGGTAAATGAACCGACTAGATTCGGAATTGCACGATATTTCAGCAATGAAAGTCTTATAAACATAGCAGTTGCTTCATCAGCTGGATTTAAGACATCCCACGAAAATGTTCGATCTCGTAAAATAACAACGTCGGAGAGTACAGAAGGAAGTGCTACAAATGTGGATAAACAAACGTCTAATTCTCATGGAGTATTTAATTGTAGTATATTTTGTAATTTATCATTTGTCCTTTTTGCACCTGGTTACTGGCTGGGCAGCATAGCAGCATCGTTGCCAGTGATGTATTTGCCTGCTCATGCAGGGGAAATAGGGATATTCGGACAGAAAGCAGCACTTCTGGTGTCCGTTACTGGTGCGTGTGACGCACTAGGACGACTTTTGGCGGGAGTAGTCTCTGATCACTTTCATGTAAATCCAAGATATTTGACAATCTTCGCTTGTGTAATTGACGGACTTATGCAACAATTGTCGGTCCTTTTTACTGAGTACTGGCATTTTCTAATTTATGCAATTGTGTATGGTATATTCGCGGGATTTCTGTACTCCCTTTACGCTGTCATTGTGCTCCAGATGGTAGGAACCAAGGACTTCCGAAGCACGATAACAGTTCTCATGATTGGACAAGGTGTCGGATTCAGCATATCAAATCCTTTAATAGGTGAGTACCAACAACGCAGATTTGATTACTTGAAATGTCAGAATCGTACACACGAGTCGCCTTTGGCGTTTGTTGCGGAATCGGAACCACTGTTGTGTAAATAATTACATTTTCTTTGTTAGTCTTTGTATTCACACTGCCAAAACAAAAGAAAATGCATTTATCGAGTATTTAACATTCAAGCCAGTATGAAAGCAGAGTGGTTAGATTCATACTGTACGAAGCCTCTTGAGGGTATCACACGATTGGGTGTAACATATTGATATTCATTCTCAGGATTTGAATCTTCCTGTCAATTTCCTGAAGTGATGAATCAAGTTTTTCTGGAGGCAGACTTAGTGAAATGCCAGGCATTTAATGTTTACTTTGTATGACGACCAACCAAAGCAATACGCAATCGTGATATTTAACTAAACCCATTTGTTATTACCTATATTGTGTGTCAGTGTACCACTACACACTACACTCTGTGTGTGATGATGCCTGGGCAACAACTCGACATGTACAAATGATATTAAAATATCATTGGATGTTTGTAGTCTTTGAGAATGATGTAAATAAATGATTATGATTAGTAAATATGTATTGCATGAAAACATAGTGTAAGATTTTACTTTTTTTTCTCCATTATTGCTAAGCTCGATTTACACCCCAAACACTGGATACAGTAGCGGTTGTTCAACATTGGATAAGCGATACTAGTTATGCATTCATACGAATAAACAATATAAATCTGGTGAATGTCAATTACAAATGAAAGACACAACATCTGATACTTTATTGTGTCGACATTCTGTAGACATTGAATTACACTTTTGTGAATGATTCATTAACGTTTTCCTTTCAAGTTCCTACATAATCACCTTTGGCCAAAGTTATGTCCATTTCTCTGTGAACGCAATTACATGAATATCTGTTTCATTAGGGCGCTTTTCGTGCGCCTGGATTGATCGTAACAAGCAACCATTCCTGTTCAATATGAGGACCTAACCAGCCTCGTGCAATACTGATGTGGTCAATTAGCGATAGGTTTGAGATGAATATTTAACAAATTATAATTATTGCAATATGATTGGAAAATAATGAATGAGCGGATTACTATTTTACGTGCGCGAAAAATGTAAATTGCGAAATGTAAATGTAACTTATTTACATGTATGGTTTCAGTGCATTTGAATTATGGGGAGGGTAAAACGTAACTCATTGCAATGGAAACAAATCTAACTCTGTTTCTTTTTATTCCAGGAGCACTGAGGGATACGTACGGCTCCTACGACGCCTCCATGCACTACACAGGCGCATGCGCATTGTTGGCAGCTATTCTATTCACCATAGAAACAATAGTTCACAAAGTTAGGTCTAGCAAAGAAAAAGAAACAGATATAGAAATGTCACCGGGATAAAAGAAAAGAAAAAGTATAGTTTAATATGTAATGCTGGTGTATTTTGGAGAAAGTATACTACATTTTCTCCATCATACCGATTTCGGAATTATTCATTGGTATGAACTACACCGACAAGTCCTCGTCCAGATTGTATCCATGCACTGTAAAGACATGGTCGCTCTTTTCAATCTCAACTTAATCCAGATACTGGAGATCCTTGTGATATAAAACATGATACATAAAACTCTTTCCCATAATATTCAGTCCTCTACTTTAAGGAAGAAGTTTTGTCAAAAGTGTGAAAGATAATCTACAAAGGTTTCTTCCTTCAGCATACCAAACAGCATTAAAATATCATCGGTATCGACAATAAAATGTTTTTAAGGTTTGAGCAATCGCCACAATTTTCCAACTCTTTATAAAAGATAATCGTTGCGTATCATGTAGGTCTGCTGACAATGCAGGTATTTGTTAACTTCAGTGGATGGTTGTACCTTGTGTCCCAATATCAGGTGTATGGTTGTACCTTGTGTCCCAATACCAGGTGTATGGTTGTACCTTGTGTCTGAAAAACAAGGTGTATGGTTGTACCTTGTGTCCCAATATCGGTGTATGGTTGTACCTTGTGTCCCAATATCAGGTGTATGGTTGTACCTTGTGTCCCAATATCAGCTGTATGGTTGTACCTTGTGTCCCAATATCAGCTGTATGGTTGTACCTAGTCCGAATTATTCTGACGTTTTATCGACTTTTTTAATGTCGGTCTGTCGTCGATTAACGTCAGAACTCCGGCCCTCTATAATATATGGGAAATATGCGACCCGCGCCCGGAGCGCACTTCAAACTGATATTTTAGAAACAAATCGTCACTTTCACACACATGTCGCACATGGATCGAAAGATCTATTCATTAGGTGGTATCAATAACATGTTTCAAAGATCATTGCGAAAAGTATTTTCCAATGTTTTCTATACCAACCCATGTTTTTAATGGAAATTAGGCCATGAGCAATGTCATATGACTTGACAAGATCTCGCAATGGTTCCCAACGGTATGACGTATGAGATTTTAATCACGTGACATTAGAAGGCGGGGCTACCAAAAAACTAGAGTAAAACAGAGTAAGTTTGAACAAAATATGTTTTAAGTGATTGTATTGATTGTTTGAGGCATGCTATGTATGTTCATCTTGTACATAAAGAACAGATCTTTCGATCCATATGCGACATGTGTGTGAAAATGACGATTTGTTTCTAAAATATCAGTTTGAAGTGCGCTCCGGGCGCGGGTCGCATATTTCCCATATATTATAGAGGGCCGGAGTTCTGACGTTAATCGACGACAGAACGATATTAAAAAAGTCGATAAAACGTCAGAATAATTCGGACTAGGTTGTACCTTGTGTCCCAATATTAGGTGTATGGTTTACATTGTGTTTCAATATCCGGTGACAGAGGTCACCCTCGACAATATCTCGTCAAGGTAGACCTTAAAGAATAAAATACAATGAGGCAGACGATAAAACATGTATTTGTAAAATATGTTGCTTATTTATATTTCACGTAAATTAAACTGAAATGTAAAACAAATATTGCTCTTTGTGTTAATTACTTAACAGCACAGTATGTTATTTAAAATTAATTCGATGTCGTGCAATTGCTCAAAAAGTGTTCACTTACCTCATTTTTCTGAAAATTGTTTGTATGTAAATGTAATTATCATCGTTACACAACTTTTACTGCCTACCAGTAGCATGACAAGTTCATGTTTTACTGCATGTCATTGTTGTAACGAATTTATGGAGACCGACTTGAGAATGGATTTTACCGACCGGGATTTTTTATTTTTTCTCAACAAAAATATCTAATCGCTCCAGATGACGTCTTAAACCCAAACTACAAGTTATTAGTCAAATGTCACATATAATGTATCACACCCAATGTGCGCGATGTACTGATGATCTGCAACATATCTTTGTCTCCTTCATCGGCAGAGGTTCGGATAAGATAACCAAAAATCACCCCTCGGGTTGAGATTTTCCTGTATCACTCTCAAGGCAAAGCTTCGGGTTAAACAACCAAAAAAACCCAACTTGGGTTGGAGATTTCATTGTCACACAATCAAAGTAGAGTTGTGTTGAGAAATTTCATGTTGGTTGTACACTTCTGAGAATATAGGAAGCTACAATGTTACTTGATATCGACAAAAAGCAGGAAAAACACTTAACGAAGGGCATTATTGAGAGGTCATTATGATTTTTTACAATGTCCCAACTTCAGGAAGCGTAAAATTGAGCATTCAAAATATTCCTGAGTAGAAGTCATAGTAGAGCTGCATCAGATTGTAAATGGCCAATACCCTGCATTTTTACGCTGTCCTTGATCACTTAGAGAGATAGAAAGCACTCCAAACATATTCTTTTTTTGGGGGTGGGGGGTCTCTAAGACGCCTAAAGAGGAATGAAAATATGCTACATAAAAACATCAAAAAGCGGTAAAATAAAATTGAGAGAGAGACAGATGAAAATGAAATTCATCAGAAAAGCTTGATGGGGGTTACTATCTTTTTGCTGAAGGAAGTGTTGAAACCCCTTTCTCGTATAATGAAGGATGTATGCTCGGTGAGCTGGTCGAAGGTGATGAGCTGTCGGGCGTGACTAAATCGAGTGTAGTCTACACTTGGTCAAGCCATTATACGAACGTATTTCGCGTACTGTTGGTCTGATCGTAGATCAAACTCGCCGTTGCAGGCTAACCTTATAATCAACATCCATATAACTTGTAGCTTCTTACTACAATATCATTAACACCAATGACACCGTACATGACGTTCATAGATATGTTATTTTACAGCCAGCATAGAAACAACTCAATTCAATGACTTTGTATCAGTCTGAATTGTCGGCAACATTAGGTTGGGAGAAAATTTAAAACACCGAGATAAGAACCAAAAGTACAAGAAAAGTAAACGATACCAGGTATAAAAAAGGAGCTGTCGGTAAACTTAATAGTTAAAACCTGTAATACCAAACAATATTGTTAAAGTATAAGTAAAACTTGTAATACCAAACAATATTGTTAAAGTATAAGTAAAACTTGTAATACCAAACAATATTGTTAAAGTATAAGTAAAAACTAAAATACCAAACAATATTGTTACAGTATAAGTTAAAACTGTAATACCAAACAATATTGTTACAGTAAAAGTAAAAACTGTAATACCAAACATTTTGTTACAGTATAAGTAAAACCTGTAATACCAAACAATATTGTTACAGTAAAAGTAAAAACTTTAATACCAAAGTATATTGTTACAGTATAAGTTAAACCTGTAATACCAAACATTTTGTAACAGTATCAGTTAAAACTTTAATACCAAACAATATTGTTACAGTAAAAGTAAAAACTATAATACCAAATACTTTGTTACAGTATAAATAAAAACTTTAATACCAAACAATATTGTTACAGTATAAGTAAAACCTGTAATACCAAACAATTTGTTACAGTATCAGTATAAACTATTATACCAAACAATATCTTAACATTATATATTAAAACTGTGAAACCAAACAATATGTAAATATTTAAACTAGAAACTGTAATACTAAACAGTATCGTAACATTATAAGTAAAAACAGAAATACGAAACATTATCGTTATATTTTAAGCAAAACCTGTAATACCAAAGAATATCCCATCATTAATGGAAAAACCTTCAATATCAAACAATATCATTAAAGCTGTGTGTGTCAATAACTTACCTACCTAACCGTATCGGTTTGTGTGTTTTACAATGACGCAGTTCTCGAAATAAATAATTCCTGACATTAATTATTTTACAGCATGTTGTTGATTACGTTTTAGTGTTGTACACATCTGGTCCCGTTCACACGCATTAACACGTGAGACCTGGGTACTGTTATAAAGCGGACACGTTGACAACCTGAACACGTAGGTCTCTTACTCCCGGACCGTTGAAATGTCGTCGCTGTCTTTACTTTGTATGATTCTACTCTTGGGTAAGTTCGTAATACAAAGTTGTTGGTAAGCAATTTGATGTTCCCAAATTATTGACTATAAGACGATACTGCCAGCTTGTGATTGTTCTATTTTAGCAATTATAAGAATTAGATTACCAGCTACGTTTTTTAAGTTTAAATGTCGAATTTCAAGGGTTTTGCTCTAATAGAATATTTACTGTGTTTCACTGGAACAGGAAACCCGAGGAATTCTGCTTTCCACATACATGTCTTCTCTACTTCTCAAGAATATGTCATGACAAAATGGAAGGGTTGTGGTAAACCACTTCGGTGTTTTGGGTATACAAACTTGGCCTGTCCTTAGGCTGATACCTGTTCCTAACCTATGCTGCCCTCTTGATTTACATTTAATCTTCATCAAAGGCCACAGATAAGTTTATTGGCATCATATGCAAGATATTGCATCAAAAGCCTTCTCCGTCATGACAAATACTGGATAAACAGAGAAGATATGTGTGTCGAAAGTAGAATTCTTTGGGCTTCGAGGATGAGATATTGAGTGCTAAAGTATACCTTACCTTATTCAGCTATACACAACCCGAAGCAAAGGAGAAAGACCTAACAATATACATATTCATTTCTATAAAAAGGATTAAAAATAATATCATTATAAATATGTTTATGTGATTTCTTTTTTTTCTACAGTAATACCATCTATACTAGTGCACTAGTTTCGTAAAATGTATGTGTTATTTTGAATATGTTTGGGATACAGGTGAATCTCTTCAGCATTACATGTACATTGTATACAGGTGTTTTGTGAATGTATTAGTATTCTTGTAGACTTCATTTATAGTACTGTGTATAATTGGCTCATTAAATATTAAACCGAGGTCTCAAAGTAAGAACATTAGTATCCTGTATTAATTTGTATAACTTGTGTTTACTTCGCATATTGCTATTTGTAAGAGATAACGAAAAACGACATTAAGGAACATTATTTTTTTGACTGTGGAGACAAGATTGTACATTTATACCGTACACTTATTATTGTACGTTATATGATTTGGTTTGGTTTAATTTTGTTCAACGTCCGATTAAAGGTCATTTAAGGACGTGTGTTCATGTGTGTAGTGTACGCGTGCTTGCGTGTGTGTATGCAGGAGACAGGCTATGTTGGTGTGCTTGCCTCCTTGTGATAGCGCGAATTCGATTCCGACTATATAGTGCCCAAGGACCAAGCACAGCAATCCGCCCAGTCGCATTACACTGATAACGAATGGGCAAGTTGTTGCCATTCCCCTTAATGCTGAACGTTAAGCAGCGAATAACAACTACCATTCTTAAAGACTTTGATATGTCCCGGCCTGGGGTTAGAACCCGTTGCCTTCCTCACCTTGGCGAACGTTCAACATTCACGTCAAAAGCGAGGTGTTGCCAAGCAAGGCGCTAGGAAATAAAGGTTTGTTAGAAGTAGAAAGAAAATTAAGATACCAAATATGGAAAGTATATTCACTTAGTTTACAATATACTAGAATCGGAAGTGACGTCACTCATGCTCATTGTTATTTGAAGGTGCTCTTCGTTCACAAGAATATGACGGAGGATGTAAACAGGCATGTCCGATGTCTTATATGCCAGTGTGTGCGGACAATGGACAGACATTTGACAATGAATGCCAGGTTACTGTCGCGAGTTGCAAGTAGGTATATTGAGATCGCCCAGACTACCGTAATTTCCTGCGGATATCCCACAATACACCGTATAGCCCGCACAGCCTCAACTTAGCAGTATATGTAAAAAATGTAAACAGATAGCCCGCATTGGCAGATAACCCACGGCTTGTGTTTGCTGCCTGTACACGTACCTGTAACCTGTATCGACCGATCCATACCCGTGACATTTGACATAGCCATATATCTATACAATACAATACAGTACAATACATTTTTTTATTTAAGTGTCACATATCGATGTACATTAAAACAACAAATTTTACAAAAAGTAAAAGCTATTTCAAAATTTAAATCTGTCAGATATCGACATCCAGCCAAATCTGGCTTATGACACACTAAAAGTCATTATCACACCTTAAAATAAGTAAAACCACTAGCACTGTACATAATTATATGAAGTTAAAACATAGACGCCTGCGATACATATGATACATACGATATAGAGTAGCGGCTAAAATATTTTGTATACACGGATTTGTCATTAAAAATGCAGTTTACATTTGTCCTCTAGCTCAATAAAGCGTTGCTTAAAGTAAAGAGCAGAGTTATAAAAATCGCTTCTGATGTCCGAGTAAAATTCACAGTTAATTAAATAATGAGTTTCGTCTTCAATGCTATTATATGAGCACATAGTACAAAGTCGATCTTGTAAAGGTGTAACTGGACGAGAATACCGACCGGTTTCGACTTTTAACTTAAGATTACCGCAACGGAACTTTGTTAATGTTTGTCTATGACCAAAATGCATAATACCACTAATACTTCGACAAGTCTATCGTGAGCGGATCCATCAATCCTTAACCAGAGCCTACAGACCTCCACTTTCTGTTTCACGTCACAGGAACTCCAACCAAGACCGCCACCTGTGGCGACATTGGACGCATTTCTTCCGGTACTGAGGAAGTAGCGGCATTTTTTTTAAAACAAACTGTATGAAGCGATCTTTGTTAATACACTATATCCCTGCTCCATAAAACATCACAGGTTCTACAAGGGACTGGTACAGATTCTTGAAAACAGTTTGGGACATACCTCCCGCGAATTTGAATTTCGCATAAAGTGCCCAGAGGGCACGACTTCGCTAGCTCTCGCGCGGTCATTTCCATAATCAGAAATTCAGTAAACCATAATCCTAGATACTTGTGTTTATCAGTTATGTGGATTTGTAAATGTACCAGGTATTGTGAGAAGTAATCGATGTCAAAACGTTCACGAATAGCTAGTCTCAAGAATGGATTCTCCAGCACGGACGCTAAATACAAAGTGTAGAACTCCTGGTAGTAAACGAAAAAGACAGAATGACACTGTGGAATTTAGACTAAAAATTGTGCAACATGCAGGAGAGCACGGTAATAGAGAGGCCGGACGTGTTTGAATTTGATGAAAGGTGTGCAAGACAATGGAGGCAACAAATGTTTAATGTTGATTTGTAATCGATAAATTATTGGGTTTTTTTACACCACAGATAGCCCGCAGGATTTCGACGATTTATGTAAAAAAAACATTAACAGATAACCCGCACTGGTAGATAGCCCGCAGAGGGTCTGAAAACAAAACAAATCGCAAACGCGGGCTATCCACAGGAAATTACGGTACATTACGTGTGGGCTTCTTGTCTATTTAACTTTAGATAAGTTAGAAGCTCTCGTGTTGTTAATTGTGACAGCGTGACTGCAAAAGCAGCAACCACAAGCTCATACCCTGATTGGCAGTTCTTTTTAGCGAAGTTTAAGATTTACATCATTTGCAACGGTCACAAGTATATTGCTGTTCAGGAAAACCAAATAGAACGCCATAGAAATGAAGTAATGCCGATATAGATAAATAACTGACGGTGAATCTTTTTGCTGGTATGGTCTTGTGAAGGAATAATTTGTGAACTGCAAACACAATTTACATCAAATGCTTAAAACAATTAATTGTGAGAAAAGTATGATACAATTACGTCATACATGGCCATACGGTATTCTTCCAGCATACTATCACAATCAACTTATGCAGGGTTACACTGTATTTTAAATAAACCATCAATACAATTAAATAATTCACACTGTTACTATTAAAACATGGGTTGACAGTGGGTGGCAGGAGAGAAACGGAAACCAGTAGTTGGAACATGTTAGAAAGGAATGAGTGCAGATGATCCGTATATGGGACTTGTCTGTACCCATTGCAACAGAAAAAAAAGATAACTCCTGATCCTCCAGAGGCCTTCATATAAATATCACACTTCATGCGGTGGACTTGTTTCGTTTATGATATTCCCCAATCTACATTTCGAATGGAGACGAGGACGAAAGTATATAATTTTGTTTGTAATATTATGGCGGAAATAGGCCAAAGTTATATTTATAATAGCAAGTTTTACAGTTGTGAAATAGTTTGTTTAACACGGCCAGTTGGTGTAGTTCTCTGGGCACGTTCCGGTGGCTGAATCGGTTTATGTCTCCATTGACAAGAGGAGGGGAGCGGGTCCTTCCTTTCTCAATCTTGGATTGGTATATCATTTATTTAATTTTCTGGATTTCAAAGTCAAAACCCAGGATGGGGCATCGTTGGTTTTGTTATGTTGTAATAGAATCACTTTAAATGAAGTTAGCTTTTAGAAGGCAGTAGCTTAGTATTGCTGGGCGCAAAGCAAAGCATTACATGTTTATCTACAGTAGTTTAGGATGGGAGAAACAAAATATATTTACGACTTTGGGAGTAAGAACAAAAACTCATCTTGGCTTGAGATTTTCACCATTTCGCACTACAGTGACCATTTCTGTTAATGGGTTGGATTTTATGTAACAGGTTGTGAAATAATTTAATTTGTGTAATGTTGACTCTGCACTGTAAACCAAACAGAGGAATACAAATCATTGTCTAAAATAAAAACTATATGAGGTGGGAACAACAAAACGTAACATTCCTTATTCTTTTTACAGACAAAGACGACAGCTAAAGGTCATACACCGTGGCAACTGTTAAGGAAGACAACTATCGGGATTACCTCCCTTTATCTTACAGATGTAAATTTATCTTCAATAAATATTCTTTGAGATATTTGATTTATAAACTTATTTTATCTACTTTCCCATAATCAATGTAGTAATAAGACTCTATAAATATGTACCTGGCCATTTGGTTTACATCTACAGTCACTGTACCCAAAGCGGTACAGTACCCAAAACGGGACACTTGTGGGAAAACGGCCAAGGTAACTGTCATTTGATGCAAAGAAGTACTTTTATGTATACTGTTTTTATTTGATAATACTTTTCATGACAATTAAACTGTATTAAGCTTTATTGACTGCTGACTATCGTAACATGGACAATTTAAAGGTAAGAATAATTACCAAAACAAGAATTTCCTGATCTACGTGCCGTGCGACGCTATTTATTTGGATATCATTTTCAAACGTCTGTTTTATCAAAACAAATGCTAGTTTGGAGAGGAAAGGACTTGGGGCGTTATGGGTCATTTTTGGCCTCATATAAAGTGAAAATTTCAATTTGAATTTACTAACGAATTTCTGTTATAAATATCATACTGGTTAATAGGGTCTATCTTTCTTGGAGCAGATTTTTTTCAAATGCGCATGCATAGATGCCCTGCCATAGCAACACATTTGCGTTACTGTGCAGAAATGGCCAAAATATGGTGTTTTGGGACAGTTAGCATGCAGAAATGAAGGCCTCCGCATGTCACAAACAAATATTCCTTTCTCGATATGAACACTGGTGTGACGATGTTTAAGCATGTCAAATATTTATTTGTTTGTTGCATGCGAAGGCTTTCAAATATTGAAGAGTGTTTAGTTATTTCCTTCGAAACGGCCAATTTTCAACCAAACACCGAACAACAGACGATATTCACGCAATTTATTATAAAAATGCGGGTTTATAATGCCATATCTCCTAAACCAGTTGTCGGATAAAATTGAAATTTCATATTTGCGTACTTCATTTATTCAAGATTATGAATACTTTCTTAATTCTAAATCCCCGATGGGGCCGGAAATGCCCTTAACGCCCCTAGTCCTCTAACCAGAACCCTCGTTGACTCTAAAATATTTCAACTATGCGTACTTGCTGTTGATAAATATTAATCGTTTATCTTTCAGGGTACAGTAACGCCGGTTTAAGGGCCTCCGTAACTATGATGGTATTTCGCGTTCTTGTGATAGGAATGAAAAGGGGATAGTATATATCTATGAAAAATAAACAAACATTTTTAGACCTGATAGTATGGTATAAAATGCATTGATATCTAAAATTTGTCCCGATTTGGGTACAGTGATGTAACAGCTCGTAAATTGGTACAGCAACTGAAATGTCAAGCAAATAATAATATTATTTAACATTAACGCTTCAGATTGCTGCAATTAATTCACAAACAGTATTTTTCTCCAATTTTGCTGAAAAAATCTGCGAAAAATGTAACATAAACACTTTTTCTGTTTCTTGTTATTCAGAAATTCCATGATTTACAGATTATATGACATGTATAAGATTTCTGCCACAAACTGGATATATCGTCTGATATTTTCCCATATAAGCTGCTACTTAACAACAAACAACGCACACGTGTGTGTGTGGATGCTACGTTATTTGGTATTTTGTATTGTTATCAAAGTTAATTATGCATTATACTAATACATCGGCGATTTAATGACACTTTTTGTCAGTTCAAAACAATGTAGTATTTAACACGTATCGTAAGACTTCTGAAGTTTTCTTTTTTTGTTGGGATATATTCCATTATTGTTTTACTTACGTATAAACCGATGAATTGTGGGATATCTTTTGTTATCGTTGTACATCAGTGATAGCGTTATCTGCTGAACAGGAGAGTCCATCAGGACAACCTACCCTGTATGTACAGATAGAGATAATCGACAACAGTAATGCCCGATATAAAACCGTTAGTAATAACAGTAAAACATGAAGTGCTCCGTCTTGATTTTCGTATTGTGTACGGGGATTCCCGCTTCCGTTGGTAATGTCAAACTCCCTTGCACAGAAGACATGTTCCATAGCAACACAAATGCGTATTGGGCATGCGCAGCACAGTTCGCGTTACAGTCTAATTGGTTCCCATCGCCTATCGCTGGTCTATTCAGTTACCAGGTAAGAAACTGTACCCTTTATTTGCAGTTTAAACAATTGTAACCGTGTTTCATCGGTTAAGTGCGTGTACTTATACTTTGTTTCGTGTATAAAATCCAATCTAGGAAACTTGTGTCTTTATAATTCCACTATCATTCTTTCTGGTCACGTTTGACACAACGTTTCTAAATGAAGAGTTTCGTTGGTAATTCAAGATAGTATAAGTTATTCTGCTGATGAAAGAAAAAATGTTTTTCTGAAACCCACTAACAATCTATTCCCACTGCTGGTGTCGATCAATCTACTGTTTCAAACGTTGGAATATGTTGACATGAAACTTTTTCAGAATCATATTGTGAATCGATTACAGTTTTGTCTTTTCACATATACTTAACGTATTGTTACACTGTTCCTCTGTCTTCTTGTTGCCACCAGATTTGGAATGGATTCGATGGTTTCTGGCAAAATGGCGCCGTTCTGGAGCCGTTCGTCAACTTCATGGTCTACGCCAATCATACTCGATACAACACAGTCGTTCAGAAATCCCAGCGTAGCCTTTACCAGCTGTTAGAAGCGTACGGGCCCTATCCTTCATTTGACGATATGGGTTGGTATGGCCTTAGTTACGCGAGAATATACGAGGTACAAGGAGGTGATGACTTCCTGGATTCAGCAGTAGACATCTTTAATTGGGCTTGGGAGACAGGATGGGACAAAAGCAATAAATGTAACGGGGGTTTCTTTTTCGATAATCTTCAAAATGCAAAACAAACGATCACAAATGTTGAGCTTTTTCAATTAGGTGCTAAGCTTTATCGACTGCGAAAGGATTCAACTATTCTTGAGAAAGTCCAGCAGATACACAAATACATATTTAGTAACGAAATTGTAGACATGAAGACCCACCTGGTCGTGGATGGAATATTCATGGATAACTGTAGCAGCAACGGAGTGTACGGTCCGTCATACAACGGCGGAGTATTTATTGGAGGGCTAGTCGAATACTACAAAGTCACCGAAGATATTTATTATCTAGAATTGGCCAAGCAGATCGCAGAGGCCATCATCGAAACAAAGTCCAACAATAGCCAGATTTTGACAGAATATTGTGACCCTAATTGTAACGAAGACGCCATGATGTTTAAAGGGATATTTGTGAGAAACTTAAGATATTTAATGGACGCGCTGCCATCAAACGATACAGCAACCAGAAATAGCTACCAGAAATGTCTTGACACCAATGTTATAGCCATATTAGAATTAAACATGTGTAACTTGAATCCAATTTCTAAGTGCAACATAACTTTCCAGGACGGTCCACCATACTATAACGTGTCGGGTCCTGTATTTTCGCCAAATTGGAATGGCCCCTTTACTTTCGGAGCACCCATGCAGCAAACGTCAGCATTCGACCTATTTGTCTCAAGCATCTACCCTGGGACCACGTGCGTCGGTGACCTTTGTTCGTACGACCCATCATACCCAGCACCTCAACCTTTGACCTGTGGAAGTCATCCGTGTCCTAAGGGCGAAGAGTGCTGTGAATACAGTCCCTATACCTCCTACACGTGCTGTGCTAAGGGTCAGAAATGTACGAAACAAGGCATTTGTGTTTAGTGCTCATCGAGTATCTTTCAAGCGTTTGTCTGTCTTTTGAAATAAACAGTCAAACCAAATAATCGTGCTTTATTAATCAAATTAAACGCATGTGATCGGATTGAATTTTAACCCACCCTGTATTACATTGTTTATGACAATACACATTCACTCCTTACCTATGATATACCGAACTGGGTCCGTACAGCATCAGGTCATAGTTCGGTTCAACTATGAGAGGTAGAAGAAATATAGTTGATTTAATATATTGTTGTATTTTTCTTTATCAATGCTGCATTCAATAATGTGCGGTGACTACGTGTTTTATTTTAATGTTATTTAACCTTATCGGATGTTCAAAGGAAGACAACTCTAGGCTAAATGAAGGTCATTCTGGGGATTGGTTATCGTTTGTCGTGAGAAAATCACAACTGATTCTGGCAATACATGTTGCTGGAAGTTGATGTCTTGATTTAATTATGAACGAAATTAGCCTCGATCTTTTATTTAATATTTTGTCGTTGTTTTTATATATAACGACCGGTTCCGATTTCTAAACGAACTTCAATGTTTTCTTTTTGCAATTCAAGTGTGCAACAGACTGGATAAGTGACAGATGTGTTTTGAGATGTAACTTAAGACATTAAAATAGTGGCCTTCCATTGCATAGTATGCAAAAAGCTTAAAAAAAAAGTTGGTTTTAGTTATTTCATTACTCGCACATATTTGGTATTAAATTGTCAATCCGTTGTAAATGGGCAAATAATTATAGGCAATAATAAAATAGTATCTTAGAGAGTACCTCATCTGCAAAATAGGACTCCGCATCGCATCGTAATTGTATATAATTTATATTCATTCTGATTTAATACGTACCATGTTGATATACTGCCGTTGATTGATTATAGAAATAACATAAAGGTATCAATCAGTAGATCAGTAAACAGGTACGTGTTCACACACATATCATAAGGGTATAGTAGTTACTCCCAAATATATTGAAATACTTCAATTCTCAGTTTTGTCTTACCTTTATATAATTAGTACCGCTCTGTTCTAAATGGGAGAAAGGGATGTTTTGGCTAACGTCATCACCAACCTTACTTTTGATTTTACTGTTTCCTTATCTCTTGTTTCTAGTAATTAGTCAAACGGTGGTTGATGCTTCTGGTAGACTGCCAGTCCTCGATAATGGCTGCAGCTTTTTAGCTTAAATACTCTGTTGCAGCTAAAAGTTGGTTAAGTACATGTTGGTTTCATTAGTACCATGTCAACGATCATTAGGCACCTTTCCCATCTTGTTATATCTCTTCACATATATTTCGAAAAACCTTCGACATGGACTTTAATTTGTGTTACCTTCAGCATTACTGTCGAGTGGCGTCTTGAAATTAATACAATTCAATTCAATTCAAATGTATTTACACATTTGTTACTACAAAGTAGTTTAAAGGCAAAATAGTAAAACACAGTGAATTACATACATAGACATGTACATGTAGAAAATTAACATAGCTTCAAATAGAAAATGTGATTGAAACATTTTATGCTGTACCTTACCATACCTTATACTGTCAGCAAGCCCACTCTTCTCCGTTCTAAAGACTGTTTAATGAATAAGCAAGAGTCCAGTATAAACTGCTAGTTGTTTGTAGACAACATTGAGGTCAAATAATTGGTATCTTAGGTTACATCATTGTGATTAGGAATGCATTTCTTATTTTATTTTTTTTTGAACAGAAAAGATTATGCCATATATAAAAGCAGAGTGATAAGGGGAGGTAATACATTACTTCGGTACAACACAGAGTTAAGGTGGAAGTATTTTCATAAGTAAAAATGTGAATTCAGAAATCATAGATATACGTAAAGATAAGATGGCAGACTATTAATCATCAACATAAAGATAATGATAATATATATACTATTGTAAATGTGTATGCACCTAATGAAGGAAACAGAAGGAATACTTTTAATAAACATATAAATAATTGTATACAGGTGCGTCCTTCCCCCATGTTTCTAGTAATTACATGCCGTGATTGTGATTATTTCGAAACATACCACTGAATGAAAACAAACAACTAGTTGGTATCAAACAAGTGTTATAATTTGCATAATTGTAATATATAGATACATCACCATCGGTTTAACACGAATGTTTTAAGAAACCCACACAAAATAACATAAAATTACATATTGTTGATATAACTTTTCATTTTTGTTGGTTGTAATTTCAGTTTCAATTGATATTAAAACATCTACAAAAATATGCTTTTTGAAAACATGTTTTTACAACATCCTTTGAATGTTCAAGTATATATATTTGTACGGATTAATTGGTAGACAGTCTTCCCCGGGCATTAGAATCTACATATTGAAATAAAGATGATGTTTTATGTAAATGTCTAAATGTCTCCAACGCACCTGTTTGTCATAAGAATTATCGTACCAACAAGATGACAGACTATTAAACAAAATTTTATCTCACAAGACACAATATATTAAAGACAAGTGTAAAGAAAATTTATAAAAATCTGCACCCCCTTTCCCTCCTGAAATATCTATCTGCTGTAGTACCTAGTATAAGACACACGTGTATCTAAATGAAGTTTTAGAATTTAATCTTAATTACTATTCCTAATGCCCTAATCAACACTTTGGTATTAACTCACGCTACATTAGCGTATATTCTGTAATTTTTTACCCTTTGTCACAATGACATGTATGTATATTAGACGCATTATGCGTTTCTTAAATCTTCTAAAATGCAGCATGAGAATTTATGCATTGCATGATATTTAGCCAACTTTTTATTTTCCAATACACGTGTGACATATTTTATTGTAAGCCTGTGTGATATCACATACCAATATATCTGTGATATGTATTACGTAGTTTTGTTATTGGATACAGGATGCAAGAGTGTGTTGTTGTTTTGTTTTTGGTTTTAAAGATAATACAATGTTTTATTACCTGTGATATGTTACTTAATTTCTTATGTATGTACGTGTATATCATATCCATGTTGTAAATATTGTACATTTTATGTTGACCACATGTGAGACGAGTCATTGACTCAATGTGTTATCGAATTTAAATAAAGTCTATTATTATTATTATTATGAAACCTGTATAAACCATTGTCTTCGAAAAAAATACAATATCTGATTTGAAAAATAATAATATTGCTTTAGTATAAAATATCATTTATGCAAAGTTTGTATTATTTTAAGGTGAACTCGACACCAAACCAGTACAACCACTATTATTAAGGATAAACATAAGCTCAATTCAAAAACAAATACAATAAAAATAAAATATCAAGTATTCTTGATAAGGAAAAACAATTGGTAGGTTTGATATGGAATTGCCAAGCAAATATATTCAGATGATATTTACAATGCACACATATGTTCTTTAAATAAAAGGATATTTGTTTTGCGTTGAATAGAACCATTCTTAAGATTCATAAACAATAATGTACAAATGTAGGCTGGATAACACTTTCACAAAAGTTTACTTTAAAATGATTTCATTTACAACTGGACACGACAAAGGAGACCAATCGTATCAACCCAAACATGATAATAATGTGTGGCAAATTTAACCTTGTGCACTATGCTTTACGTAATGGCATTATGTGTCACTTAGCCAGGCTGTTGAGTTATGCTCGTGGCTAGAGTTGTTTAGTACCTGTGTAATATAATTGCATAATAACATCTTCAAAATGAAAGGATTACGCTCTCTTTCGGATAAATGGGTTATGTAAGGAAATAAATCGTAGGTACACGCTTAACTATTTGATTGGTTCAGGTATTATAACATCCTCACAAATCGCTTGGCTGATTCTTAGCCTTTTCGAATTACACAGGAATGACATCCTCCTTGAAAGCCAGTCAATCGTTTGACGTTCATCAAAGGATCAAACTAGTCGACATAATATTATAGCATCAGCAATGTGACGCGCGGAGAGTCTTCGTTTTTGTCATGAAATATTCCAGGGATGTGGAGAAGATATGTGTATCGAGAACAGGCCCCTAGTACAGTATTTCGGAAGATGACATAATAAGGGTTAAACTTTCTGTCCCTTTATTGGTAAAGTGCTTTCACGTCTGGTTGAATTTTGTGTCATATTTGAATCACGTCAATGTGAAGATTTTCATGACAATATCACAGAGCAAGACAAAAATCTGTATTTCTCAGCTATCTAATAGATATTCAAAGACAGTAGCACATCTGTCCCTGGTCAATAAAGTTAATTTATAATCAAAGTACAAAAATGCCGCTAATCCCCCACAAAGCATGAAATTATAATCAAAGGCAGTATCGTCTTGTTATGTAGCTGATCTACTACAAAGACAATTCCAACAGCTCCGATCTGTTATATAACTTTGTGATAAAAGACTTTTTAACACAAATAAATTATACTGTAGTAGTTAAGTTCACATAAAGGTTATACCGGTAGCTCCAATCAGCAATGTAACTGTAGAATATAAAGCAGTGGGACACAAACCTACAGGCCAATTCTTAGACAGGCAATACCGTTGCTCCAATCAGTAACTCAACCTTAAAGTCAAGGGCAGTTAATCAAAGGCAGTGTCACATAAAAGCATCACATCCCTCTCTTACCACATTTAATCAGTTTTTACTTGGCTTCTCACTCGTTTGATTCCTGCCTGACTTAAAAGCAAATATATAACAGCACACAGACGGTTATCAGAGCCCTCCAAGAGACATGTTACTGGTAATGATAACCTGTTGGTCGGGTAGCCAATCACACTGTTTCACAACGAGCTATTTTGGTGGTTTAAATATCTTTCTTTTTTCCGTCTTAAGCTTGCATCTTGAACCAGAGATTTAAGCTACAAGTACACGCCAACGTCTGTGTTATTCAATATATTAATATGGAAGTATGTTTCAAGTAGTGACACATGCCTAGTTTGCTTGAATGAATTTGATAGTACTGTTATTACTGCATGTGGACTACGAAACCCTGCATTGCTTGGTACATTGTATAACATCTTGCTTTGTCATCACAGTAATAACAACCAGACATAAACAAACGGCAATACATAAGAGTGTATCTATATCCCTAAACACATTTTAACTTAATATGATATATTTCCCCACTCGTTTATATTGGCGATACATTGAGTTATGATACAACCCTTTCTCACACGTTCGCAGGTAAACATTTTTCTGACGTAATATCCGCCTGTACAGATTCTTTAACTCGCTCAATGGGATGATATTGCTGACGTGACGCTCCAACTGTTCGCTGATGGTCCAACACTGACTTGAAGAAGGATGATGCCACGACAACGGATAGGATTGCCAGGGCCACGGAACTGATAAGCAGGGCGTATGAAGCAGGTGCCTTTCGAAAGGTCAAGGTCGTCGAATGGAACGTAAAAATGGAAAAAGCACAAGTGACAATCGAGACTAGTATCAACGGTATCCCAGCAACTAGAATGACGTCACCGCTGAAAAGTTTTGTCTGCAACAGAAACATTATGAAGTATTGATAAGCTAAAAATAAAGACTAAGATACCCTAATTAATCTCCAAGACGTAGTGAGCCAGAAATTATGTCCAATACCACTACTTTCGTTATATTTCTTCTCTGTCGACATCACAGAAAACCTCCCGACTCAGTGGCTTTCAAAACTGCTCTACGTTTGATGGCCGAAAATCAAAATGCAGGCTTTTATTACATACAGCAGAAGTCTGACTTTCGTGATTTTGAAAAAAAATAACTTTAAAAAGGTGTGAAGAAAGGAACAACTCCCTCTTCTATTTACCGGTACATTCTCCAGCATCAACCGTTGGAATCTGGTTTTGAAATTTTAAAAAATACATCAATATGACCGAAAGGGCTTTAGGGACATAATAAAAAAAAGTATGACTAAAAATGATATGTAATAACTGAGTATCTGTGAATTTTATGTTTGATATAAAAATTGGATATAAGATCCGACTTTTGATACTTGTTTTGATAAGCCGTACAGCTACCTTATAACACTTATAAGCACACTTAATCAAGTTCATACTATACAAAACATCAATGGATATTTGGGCAGAACTGCCATTAATGTATACATCCATTGATTTTCTTTATGTTGGAGTCATATTGATTTTATGACGTGGCGTTCAGTTATACAATGCGTATCTCCTCTTTGTCGTTTCTATAATTGCTAAGATACACCTGTAAAACAACACTTATAGCCGTGCACCGGGACAATAAAATCAACACCAAACACAAAATTTATGACCGTTTTACCCCGAATGTCAATAGACCTGGGACAAACATTGCAGATAACTAAGGAAATTGACCTTATCTTTAAAGTAAAAAACCCATGATTTGGTGGCAATGCCTGCTAAACACTTCTGGTGACAGTCGAAGTTGTAGTAATTTACATAAGTCAGTGGTGTGTTGAGGTAAGGTTAATTTTGTATATTTTACCAACATTATCCGTATATGACGGACCCACAATCGCGCGATTTGTGAAATAAACCATTTTTGTTTAACAAATACGTGTTTTATAACGTTTATATAGCGAGGAATTGATCCCATGATTGTGGTCAAGGCTGACCTCTAGAATTTTTTATTCAGACCCTGTTTGGTTATCAGATAAACACAACTCTCGTATAAGGTTTGGTAGAAGCTTCCTATAAAGTACGATCCTCCAGGCATGATGTGGCCCTGGAACATGGATTTCAGTACATGAGGTCAAGGTAAACGGTAAAACAGCATTCATGATGTTTTTGTTTTGATTAGCGACACAGCGCTTTCTCAGTGGTTACATTGAATCAGTGTGAGGTCGATATATACACAAAATAGTGCTCCATATACCTAAGTATAAGTGTATATTACTGCCTCTGAGATCAAAGGTCAACAGATCAGCAGAGTTTGGGCTAATCTTTACTTGGAATGCCATACAGTGCCTTCTCAAAATATATCGTACTCGTAGGCTGAAGTCCTGTAATGAAACAGTGGTCGAGATATGCGCCGGAAACTAGACGGACGCATATTCAACTGTACATGCTGGGGAAGAAAGATACCATCATTATCGCATTGCTGTAACTTACACAAAACCGTACAACAAAATTAGTTGAATATTTCTCATCTCCCGTCTTCGCTAAGCATCCACCTGTTCCAATTATTGACCCCTGCAAAAACAGAAATCGACTTTTATTATACGACACAAGAGTGGTTAGCAAATATACTATTGACACAATGTCCGATGTTTAAATAGAGGTTCCCCAACGGGTGGTGGTTTGTTATCAACTTCATCTAACTCGTGTCAGTTAATGACTGAATGTCTTTTACAACTAACGGACAAGATTTACATAAACATGCTAATCAACCATCACGAGTTTGAGGACCCTTTTCTCCCACAACGGGTTGTATATATATTTTCCTATTTTACATATGTATGCATATACGCTTAACCTGAACGCCAAAATATGCACATGTAATGCATAAAATGCGTGAGTTGTTTTTTTTCAACAAAATTTTATAAATAGATGTATACCAAGATATTAAAAATTTATGGTAATGCATGACAAACTTGTGAGTATACCTTATCAGGTAAAAATCATATATCATAGTGGAAGTTAAAACCTTTCTTTAAATCAGAAAGAGCGAATATATTTCTGTAAATTACTGTATTAATAAATCATGTAAGTTATATTGTGTCGCTGTCTTTTTATCGTTACACACGTGTAGCTGATTTTTGCTATTAAATAACACATGCATGCCTTCCGAGTGTCCCTGTAAGTTTACCGTATCTCATTATTACAGTAAAGTTGCTAATATTCGCAGGGATTTATTTTCGCTATATTTGCGGTAACCATAAGAAGAAAAAAAATATTCATCAAATATTAATACCATGAGTCATAATTTCCGTGAATATACATTGAGAGACACAGAGGACATCTGTTTACCTAATAACTGTCGTATAATGAAGATAACAAAACAATTCAAAATCGCATTTTACTTTATTTTCACAGAGCACTTGTAAAATAAATTCTATCACTCAAATACAAAAACTCCCTCGTGATTGCAATATATTTAACTAGTCATTTTGCGCGAAACCTTATCCCTTCAAGCTAGTTCTGATCGGGACTACCGCGAAATATAACCCTCGCGAAATGTAACAGCTATACAGTATGTATTTGAATTATAGATAAACTGAAATTTCATGTATCCTACAATCTGAACATTGTAATCAAACGCGTCAATTTGACCTTCACCTACTTCATGCTTACAGCACAACTATTTGTTTAATTCACAAAGTTGCTATGAATGACTTTAAGTAAACAAGAAACTTCGGGAAAGGGCTTTACATAAGTTGGCCAACTTGTGCCAAATCCCTTTTGTATAAGAGATGCAAATAAAAATATGTTTAAATCAAAGTAAACAAGAAAATTATTGTTTAAAAATGTTGCATCAATGCATTTGATCTTCGATCATAAAATAAGTGACTGACCTATTCATATATATCTAAAATTGTAGCCGACATCTTGTATGTAGGCCAAATATAAAATAGTATCTGCTTCCGGTTATCCTACCTACCCTATTCCCTCTTTGCGTATTGCTGAGTTATCTTCTCTTGTGAGCAAGTATTGATTGTACGTCAGTGGTTTGTGTGAGAAAATTACGTTGTTTTCTCAAAAATTGATGACGTTACTCTCACAAACAAATGACGTAACAATCAATACCTACTCACAAGAGCAGATAACTCTGCAACACGCAAAGACGGAATATATTGTGCTTTCCCTAAACTTTTGCTGTAAATATTAAGGAGTTTTTATTCAAAAATGTTTACGTTGCTACCTTTCATGAACTTTTCACACACTTTATAGCAAACCAACTTATAGTTGTGTTTGGTCTTAACTGCGTTCTCTGCTTCTATTGCATTTATTACAACTGCATTCCAGTGTACATTGTAGACAGAAATGCAGCAGATGTGCAATTTGTGGCATTATATAATGCCTTGTAGTGTACTGTGTCTGGTGGCCCATAAAGACAACAGCTACATAAACTGCTCCGTTTATCGAGTTAGTATCATATGTCACCCAATACAAATGTAACAATGCTTTTTGTCAGTAAAACTATACATGCCTACCACTCGTTATCGTTGACATAAAAGGATATAAGAGGTATTGTTTATATGTTACAATCAAAAAGCTAATTGTCTTGATTGTATGCATGTCGTTTGATTATTACTAATGATACGTATGCGATTTATTGCTTCCCTTGGGGACTCTCCTTTCCTTCCCTTTTATCTGCAAGAACCTTGCCCAAGTTTCACGAACTATCTTTTAAGTCAAGGATTTTTTTCCCCATAGGAAACACTATCAGAGTAAATATATATATTAATTCCGGCTATCTTACCAATGAAATACGCTTAAGTTAAGGGCATTTCTTATGCTAAGGAACTTTTCGAAAATATTGACCTGGCAAGTATAGCTCTCGACTCATTATCAGAGAGGACATACTATATACTAAATGAATTATTATCATTACATAAGGAGGAAATAAGATATATCGTATAAATAAAATGTTAATTATCATATCAATGGGACTTAATTACATTGCATTTTTAAATATACATATTTCATCATCTTAAATATTACATGTATTGATAATATGTTAACGACGTGATGTGTACAGAATGACGACATAAAAATATGATATTACGTCATATCTTCAAAAAAAACCAAAAAAAATAAGATGATATAAGTATATGTGTAGTTGAGAATAAAACAGGAAGCTTTATGGTTCCATACAAAAATCAGTTCTTACGACTCATTAACTTCTTAACAATTTATTGTTTGAGTATCTGCAATGTATAAGATGAACAGAAAAAATGTGAGAATTTGCTTCCAGCGATTACATTGTCAACAACGAATACGTTTAAAGCTTTACTGGTTATAATATAGGGATAGGAGGTAATGACATTTATAGACAACCTACCAGTGTACCGGATAGTATTAACAAGGCAGACAGGAACCGGAAGTCGCTATGACCTGTCCACACTATGACCCCTAGCAGGAACATCAGCACGTCGACGATGACCAGACATTTGGACTGCAGGGTCAGATAGGTACCAGTCTCACTCACTGACCTCATAGTGGCTTAGCACTGGAACAGAGAGGCTGAAGATGTCACAGTTTATATCGGTACATAGTGGCTTAGCACTGGAACAGAAAGGCTGAAGATGTCACAGTTTATATCGGTATATAGTGGCTTAGCACTGGAGCAGAGAGGCTGAAGATGTCACAGTTTATATCGGTACATAGTGGCTTAGCACTGGAGCAGAGAGGCTGAAGATGTCACAGTTGATATCGGTACATTTTTCTCTATAAAGCAGATACATATAGTTATGTAGCTCGAGTTTACTCTAGCCCCAACCCCAGACTTAGACATTTTGACATATATATGACTGATGTGGGTAGCTCGAGTTTTCCTCTGGCCCCAACACCAGACTTAGACATTTAAATAAATATAATAAATGTACAACATTTGATATAGCGCCCTATCTAGCCAACATTAAGCCACTCTAAAGCGCTCTACAGTACATAGATATACTGTATCGTTAAGGACTTTAAGCAACGGGTTTAAATGTTAAGTGCACAATTGAACATTCGCTATAAGTATGTGGTTTATACAGAGGCTTCCTCCTTAAAATGCAATTTTAAATGCGTGGGACAAGGAAATGTTTTTTTTTTTCATTTTAGTTATGTTACAAAGCTATAGTAAGTCTTTATACAAAAAGAAACAAGAGTTTTTAATATAACATGCATATATTATAGGGAACTGTTTCCTGATAAACTACACAAATTAAATCATGTTTACAGGACACAAGTCTAAATGTGACTCAGACCACAATTATTAGCCCGGGCTGCCTCTAGCCCCAACACCAGACTTAAACAATTTGACATATACATGACATCATGTCTGGTGTGAGGCCAGAGCGCGCTGCTATATGAAAACGTGGAATTCTCCGACACCATTTGGTAGGAAAGAGTTATGAGGTGCTGACAACACAAATCTAGTATGACACAACACATCCCTCACATATATCGAATTAGTGGATTATTTATTGATCCAAATCATCTCTTATTATCACCAACAGCTGCTTAATTCCGTCAGTAGAGTCCTAAATGTTCAAACTTTCAAACATTTTAGCGAACGCCATTTGTGTAGGTCATAAGGTGACTAATCAACAAAACGTATTGATCCGGACCAAAAACGGAATATATTATTCTTTTTTTTTAGAAAATTTCCGGACCGCGTCTTTTTGTTGATTAGTCACTCCCTGATACTGCGCTATGGCCCCACACCAGGCATCTATATGTCTAAAAAATGGATGTCGTGATTTGTTCGCGATTTGCGACGCCAGATATTACTATTCACTAGTATTGCTGATGAAATTCAACTGCAATGATTCTATCTTACATACTTAAGGAATAAAAAAATATTAATATGAATAATTTCACTCTGATTGTTTTTTCTAACAAAACGTCCTTTGTCTAAAATTGCATATAAATTTGCTATTTCGATAACATGTTAATAAGTCTCTTGGAGTTAAAATAATACTGACAAAAATATGGCTGTTGTTTAAGACTCACATATATAATGATATCCCCGACACGAAGTGACTTGAGATAGTCGATAGTCGTACAATGCCAGCTGCATCTGTACATGTAGGTTATGATGGATTTACAAAATGTATACCAGTGAGCTACCCGGCCCCTAGTAATCGCTTCCTCCATTGTAGCTTGGAGGTGAATAGACTTGTATGATCATACTTACATTGTTACGCAGAAATGAACACTGTTGTATTCCACTGTCAAATCGTGCCAGTTTGTAATTATAGTAAAAACCCACCAGCACTATCGACCTTCACAACCTTGGTACCGTCAGATATGTTAATCAAGGTAAATACCGGATATCACACTTCATACATAATTCACTGTTGTGTGGATGGGCTGGTATTGATCAGGTGTACCCGACACAGCTAGCAATGCGTCGTTCATAATATAAACACATAGAATGACGTACCGACGACTTGTGTAACACCGATACCTCAAGGCCACGTGGAGCGTACTTTTTGAAACTTTTATATAAAAAAAATATATATATAAACGTATCATATGTTTTGTTTCTTTAATATCCAGGTTTATCAAGGCCTTGTAGCTGGATGTTATTCTGTCACAGTTTACATGGAATATTATTTTAAATTTGAATTATCCGCTGTAGTCAAAAGTTGTGTACAAAATTGCGAAAGCTATAATAGACGTATCTTTCCCGTTTAGCTATATTTTGATTCAAATCACTTTAGATATGATTGTTTTCACCTTTTTTATCTTAAGTATTACTGACGAGTCCCAAATGGCCAAAATACCATATACACATCTGCATTTTTGTTTTCAAATAGTGGCGCTCTTTCTTCGTATTTCTAATCACGATCTCTGGTGTTCGAGATGCTAATTTTTATTTTTATTTTATATATTTATACATCACTTAATGACTAAAATGAAGGTATCAACAACATTTAACACTGACTTTGACCTTCGTAATGCCAAATCAAAAACCGAAAATATGTCTCGCTATAACCTCTAAATGTATCTTGTTGTAACATCTATATATGTCTGGTTTAAATATCTATACATGTTTTGTGTTAAACTTTTTATGTGTCTTGTGGTAATCTGTATATTTGTATGATGTAGCATTCCAGAACTAGGCCATCTGGATTCTTGATTTCATTAATGATATATTTCAACGGTACATCCGAATAGCGGAATCACCAATCACAAACAATACGAAAAATATAATTTGCGATGGACTTAGTGGATAAGGCTTAATGTAACTGAGTTGAACGTCCGTGTCATATGTATGGGCGGTTACTGTAGGGGCCTGACCTTAACCTTGCTGGTTGGAGTTTTACCATACAGGTTTCATTTTGCGTTGGTCCCAAAACATTTTGCTTTCTTCAAAAAAGGAACGCGAAATTACACGAGTACAAAACGTGTCATACATGTCTGCCTGTGAAACGTAGAAAACTAATCATTTTGAAAATTAGTATATTTTTGTTATTTGATCTAATGGAACTGTAACAGATAAAATACGAAAAGTATAATAAAAATGTTCATGAAAAGTTCAACGATTAGACGTCATCAGTTCAACAACACTATTAAATAATGAAAGTGCAATGTCCTTGACCTTTTCTTTAGCAATGGTCATGTTCTAATTAATCTTTAACGTGTGGCTGAGTATAAGCTGTACCAAAGAGAACATGAATCTTAATGAACTTTTTAATACCAATGAGTATAACTTACTACTCCATCACAACAACAAGCTTACAGTAACTATACTTATATAATATCTAATCGTCTTGTAACAGTTCTGGTTTGGTTAGGGTCATGCTTTCAATCAACATTTCTCTTTTGTTTTAGTCAACATTTTAATCGATAGTTCTTAAACAATGTAATATATGAATTGTTCAGGGATTACCAACAGTTCGGTAAAACGTTTTTCATGAAAACTATGAATTACAGTACTGGGACCAGTCATAATAAAAGAATATTTAATGTTCAGGAACAGTTCATTAACATATCACGTCTGTTTGAATATCTTCTATGCCAAACAGAATATGACATGAGCACATGTTGCACTAATGACCGTTGAATATGTTAAATACACAAGTACTTATCATGTTTTCTGTAGTTTTGTAACTTTTGGTTAGTTAAAGACATGGTAATTTTAACTGAATATTTCTCTCTTGCTTGTATCTTATGTACCTGATCTCATAATGGTTCACTTATATTATAATTTCATTATCTTTCTCTGCCAAACTCACCAGCGCTTTCTAAACCCCAAACCATGAACATGTCTTTGGCTCTAAAATAATCTCAGTTAAACAGAATACGATCTAGCAGAGATGTGTCGAAAATAACCACGGCAGGTGTTGCACTCATCCCATAAGTTTAAGATTGCTTGATCGCGACAGGCGTTTTGTTATTGCAACTATCCATATTGCACTTAACCACATAAGTTTCATCTGCTTGATCGCGATAAGATCTACAGGACCTACCAAAGTTTCGTTATCACAGTATATAATGCTTCTTACTCATTCGGCGGCCCAGCATTTCTGTCATAGATTTCTACACCAACAATGCCATACAACATTCGTATACTAGTTGTGTTACTGACTTTCGTAGGTATTGTTATGTGCCTAGTAACACATTTATTATCGTGCATAAACACATAAACATTTACAACCAGTAAGTGTTACAAGTAAAATTGTATTTATACCCGTTTGCAGACATCATCGGAATATCAACATATGATGTCTGTGAACCGCACACCAGCTCTCTAAGCTTAACGATGCCTCCTTGATGGATATTTTCCCTTGTGTAATTAGACCTTGACTACCTATGTTAAAACACAATATTACTGTATTGATATCAATAGTACCCCCCTCCCGCATCCCTACCTCTATTGGTACATCTGTCTTCTGTTTGAGTCACGTAGGTATGTAACACCGTGCACCTGGGACTATTTTCTGTCTTCTCAAACAAAGAGGCTCTCACCAACAACAGTCTATGCTACGGTTATCTTCCAATAATTACATGAAACGTGGACATTTTGATACCATAAGTCTTTTTAGTTCGGCACTGTACTCGGATCTATTGATGCTTGACGAAAACACTTAATGGGCATCAGGAGGTCATCCTTACAAACGAACGATATTTCTCATAATTACTCCATGCAGGTGAAAGGTATACGAAAACCCAATACTTGAGTACTTTTCTTGGTTGTGATAGCGTTTTCTTTCTACTTTATCGACACAAAGCAGATTTTTTTATTTAACTTTTGCTGTAATTCTTTCCTTATTTTCTCATTGTGCACGCAATTGTATCTACATATTTATTAGTATGTCGAATGAAAGGCCTAATATTGGGGATAATTGGATGAACAGCTGTTATACACATGGCCACATCTTGGCAGTAGTCTATCGGCCTAGGTTAATATAATATGTGAACCTTAACAAATGACGTCTGCCAGGTATCAAACTCGTGTGCCCACTTGGTACCTTTTCACAGAGGTGTATAACTTACTGTAAGTGTATCTATTTTAACGCACTTAAATGTTAGCGCATTATCGATTTTTAACAGATACGCGAATTGATGAATTGGCGCACTCACAAAACATGTGATAGAAAACAATATACGGGAACTTTAATAGGCGGAGTCATAATTTATCACAAAATTTAAAGCGCGAAAAACATATAAAGTAAGATTACCGGTACCGTTTGTACGTTTACAGTATAGTGTTTGATTTAGTACTGGAAAAGTCCACAGTATGTACATTTATAAAAATATACGGAATTCATCTGACCTATTACCGTGAAGGCACATCAGTGGAACTTATCGTTTTTGATATTTGTAGTATGTAATTGTTCAAATTTTGTATATTGACGAGGGGGCAAATTGCTTCAATAATTTGCTAAATGTCCTTTTTCGTAGTGTCGTTGTAACTATGTACTTATATATCAGATTCAACAATATGCATCTAATGGACATTTCCCCCTTTATTGGACCGTTTTGTCGTCATCAATGATGAGACCTATTAACATAAAAATGCAGTTTAGGATCCCATTCCACTGCCAACCGGCAACTGACATTTCCAAGCACATGCCTACAGCTTCAACAATAAAATCTTAAAAGAAAACATACCTTACCTTGTGGGACCTCAAGAAACAAATGATAAAGATGAAATGAGCAGAAAAGTCATAAACCACTCTTGTTGTCCCGATTGTAAACGCAAGGGGGGAGGGGGTCTTGATGTAGGAGGAAACTTGAGTACCCCCTTCTTTCTACGCTGAGCTTGCAAACTTCCTCCTCGTAATCCAGTACATACTGTTTTGATAATTGATATCCGGTTAGGAAATTAACATGCACCAAGTCACAAACTTTGTTACATGTATATATTCCTACACACACTACAAAAGTGTAGTTTTGTTTTCGATGTGCACTGTGCCGACAAGCCCCTTGACTGACAAAGAGAGCCAAAAAACGGGGGTTTGTTATTAGGTACCAAAAGGGAATTTTGTACGAAATATGTGCTTGCTTTTACAGAAGTATATAAAACAATTTGATTTGATTTATATTCATTGTGAAATAACTACTATTTAAAGAACCTTATGTATCTCTACTGTATCCGGATAACAGCTGGAACCATTTTAACTCTATTGTGGCTGGACCAAAATTCCCTACCTATCAAGCACTTTTTATAACCACGACTTACTTCAATATTCGTGTAAGAAACTTGAAGAAAAATATATTTATATTACATGTTTTGTCTATAAATACATTAACGTAAATTGATAAATTTGCAAAATTGAATAATTTCCCCTTTTGGAGTCCACCCATCTGAACTTTAATAACTGTACTAGAAGCTGTAAATAATGAATTCCCAATCATCTGTTCAAAACGATATATTTATTCCAAATTTAAAGAGCCCTTTTTATGAATAAAACGGGCAAACGAATAATGAGAATTAAATGTTCTCTAATATTTGTTCAACTGTTTCTGTCTTTATCTTAAGACATCAAATAGTATACACCCCGAGGACATCTTATACAACATACTCTTTAAAAGCAGACTGTATATTTTTGAATTTGATTAGCACACTCCTTATTGGCTATTATGTGCTGCTCTGCAGTTCAATTATCTTTTGCCTACTCCTAATCTTATAAAAAAACTGTCAATTAAATTGTCAATCATAGAATTAATTATGGAGCACTAGCTTGACACAACTATACGCAAAATAAACTTGCTTATAAGAGATAGTTATATATAGTTAAGCTTACAATACATTTTGAGATTATTTGAAATACTTATATAGCCCCGCGGCTAGCTGTCACCATCGAGCAAAATATATTTCAGTCACGGAAACTGTGTTTAGCCCGACGCAATTGATAAGCGTTTGTGATGAATGCAGATAGAGGTCTACTCTTAGGGTCTGATAATTCAACATATAGTAGCTCGTTCAGAGAGTAAGTACATTACCGGAAAAGACCTTAAGGTTGAACACGCCAACCTAATCACAATACTTACTCATAAAATTACAAACACTTACATAGAAAGACAATCCTTCAACAATATTTTCCGCTGTCTATCATCAATAATCATGTAGGCTGTTGTCTCTTATCGAGAACAATGTTACACACTTTTTTTCATCGATATTCATGTAGGTTGTCTATCATCCGGAACAATATCACAGTCGTTCATCACTCTAACGATGCCATATACTATGTACTCCCAACAGAAATGTTATACGTATACACTGATCATCAACACCGGGTAAAATGAAGCAACCACAGTGACGTACGATGTCTACTTCAATTTGTAAAGTATCCGGAGCATATCGGTTACGGTTCGATAATTCTGAAACGTGGCACACCCTGCAGCAGCCCATGTACACAAACATTTATTCTTTCAACTGCGACAAAATGCAAGCACAAATGGTATCGGTTTAGATGGTATAGGCAAAATAATCTTACCCTATATGGTATTTCATGACCTGTTAATAAGGGTAACATGAACATATCAACAGCAAGTCAGTGGACCGTGTGCTAATATACCGTTAACATCAGGCCACATCTACCATTGACGTAAACAGGCAGAGCAAGACTGCCTGGTCTGCTTACAGCGTGCGGTTAGTATAAATCTGACATCGATAAGTCAAGATTTTTCTTATATTCAAAGATAAATTATCTTGTTTCTAATTTCGTCAATTATTGTTTTCAATTCAATTTCTGTAAAGTGTTAAACTTGCACGTTGTTATGCATATTTTCATTATATGCATATTTTAATCAAGTTGATAATCTTCATTTATCTCTAATACAAAACTATACATAAACTTCAAGTAAATGATTCATATTCATGCTATCACTTCATTTTTAAGACTGAGCTACAACATTGAATACACACATGTATGTAGATGACACAAACTTTATTACATAATAATTGAATAGTATATCTCATATGGAAGAGCAATGGCCTACAGACATAATCCATTAGGCGTACTAGCGTTTCTTGGTTCAAATCCCTGGAGGACAATTAGCGCTTCATAACGACCTGGCAATTTAAGGATACATGACCTACTACCGGCAAAACTGCATATTTTTGTACATACAATTGAATTTGTATATATTTTTGCATACATATATCTTTATGTCAAATAGCTTGAATTCTGTTAAATCCGGACATCTGTTCTAATTCTAGAAATAGATATTTTCATTTATAACATAGATACCCAACCTTTTAAATATAAAAACATATTATTATACCTCTACTTTATTTACTCTATATAAAAGTAATTGGTTAAATCGAATATATCCCCACTTTTGCCTGACTGTGTTTTCGTCCTGTGTGTTAGTCTGGGAACTAGAACACACCTATACTCGGGTGTTTCCGCCGAGCCAATCAGGCGAGAGGTGGGCGGAGCTTGTTACCGAACTCGGAAGCGACATTATATATATATATATATATATATATATATAATGTCTCGAACCCGACATCATTTGGTTTCTCGAACACACGGTACTCTAAATGCTAGCGTTTGTTTGTAAACATTGACATGAGGTTTGCGGAAAGAAGTCCGCCAATATTTACATTTATTCATACGCGGTGAACTGGGTTACGTTCTACACTCTAGTTATTGAGAAATAAACAGACTTGCTCACACTTAGGTTATCGATTCAGAAACAGTGGCAATTGTAAATATTCTTATTAAATATCACGCATAGCTTCTATAACAAATAGGGATCAAAATATGAATCATGTAACTATAGACTATTGAATTAGTAAGAACAGTAAGTGTCTGCTTTGTTGAATATATGGACACAATTATTAATTGATAGTCAATATACAGTTTCTAATATTAATAGCTTTATAAGATATTAATAAATAGTGTTAGGAGCTTAAGGGAAGTTATTACGATATTCATCGACTGAAGAAGACGTCGATATGATAACGGTATATGAAGATTTTAACTTTCCAAAGCAAATCCATCGAAGTGTTAATGAAACAAAATGTACAGCNGGGGGGGGGGGGGGGGGGGGGAGTAGGGGTATTATTATAAACGTGAACCATAACGATCGGAAATGTTTGCCTGAAAGAAACTATATTTGAAAATAGACGATTGATGCGTACTAGTGATTTCTCAAAGAGAAAAGAAAATATATACTGAGAGAAAACGAATGGTGTTGATATAAATGTAAAAGCGATGGTGAAAGTAAAGAGTTATAAATCCGCATACTGCTCTGGCATGTGTTCAAAAGACTGGTCCTACGTAACTAACTTTTTACTGTCACACTGTATCGGTATGTGATAAAACAAAATTCTCATACAGTTTCAACACCATCCGGGAGACCAGTAGCCATTGTAATTGAGGGGATTGGCTGCGGCGGAATCTTTTGGGAAATTTGCTGGCACCATCTGAGCATGATATTCCGCCATCCGTGACCTCAGCTTCTCAACTACATGAGGCAGTTCTTCTGACAAATCATAATACTCATTCGGATCGTCTGTAATTAAACATAAAATAAGTCAATCAAACACTTACTAATATGCAAACACAATGCAATATTTCATATACACTTTCGCTTTTATATGCACCAAAACCACGACATAATGACTTTATTGGTTTTATTTACCAGATAGCTTTTATATTTCATATTTCAAGATCATCTTTTCCGCTTCCCTTATTTCAGCTTTACATCTCTCCTTTTTATTTACTGCAAAAATGCTATGACTATGGCGACTTTCCCTCGGCAAGTAATAACAGTAAGATGAGACTTTTTAAATATTACACAAAAAATCACCTGACGTTACACAGCAAATGAACTTATTCTCCATGACACAATTACAATAGCTGTTAATTGACTATGTAATATATCATTTAGAAATGCATGCAAATATTTTTGTGGTAAATAATTGTCCTTCATTTTCCCAATTATTAACTTTTCTATTATTACCTTTCAGGTTGAACAACTGTGTTTTATTGTTCTCCTTCCCGTCAAAAGGTACTTCCCTGATTTTAACAGCGTTCGTGTTTGTTGGGGTTGGGTACCAGCCAGGGTAGAGACCGGGGTAGCCAACGACTAGCTTATAGTCTCCCATTCTGAAGGTAGAAAGTGAATCTACTAAACAGCAAGATCAGTCTATTTTATCTTCAACGGAAATATTATTTAGTATTATATTGTATTTTGAAGGAGTAAAAACAAAACGCTGTAAATGTACATGTGCCAACTCTCCCTCGCTGTATCAAGATACATATTTTGATGGATCGCACCTGCAATTACTGCATTAGTATACAGAACAACCCCATTCAGTCTACCCACTTTTTACCAGCTGAATAGTTGCAATGCAATTGTCTTCAATATTTCGAAAGGTTTGAATTACATTATAGAACTTGTTACCTGAAACACTGACTGGATAGCACTAAAACAGGACGAGGAAAACAAGATAAACTAGGCAATACTATCCATGTTTCGTGTAACACCTTTTTGATTCACATATATTAAGTATTACCTGATCGCTGCATGCCCATTCTGATAGGGAGCTAAGTCATCTAGGTTATATATAAACTCTGTTCTTGGGGACGAACCATTACTCTTTAAGTTCTCCCATTGGCTGATACCGTCAATGCCTGAATCTGTGAAACACGTTCATCAACATGTTACAAAATATATTGTTTATTTACAAGTTAAACAACCATGAAACAAATACATTATTTACGTATAATGATAACTTATGTCAATTTTGATGCAAAGTTTACGTTTAAGGCAACAAACGATTATGGTTAAACATTGTTACCTATAAGGCAACTACAGCTATTCTGATAAGTTGTTTTGTTGTAATAAAACTAATGAAAAAGTTATTATATATTTTTTTCGAATGAAACTGGAAATTATTCATTTTCTAAAGACAAAATTACATTTTTACGACTGAATGTATACAGTCCATCTGGAAGTCGACATCAGAGGCTTATAAATAGCAATGTAAAGCTAAAGAATTTTCAGCTTCTGTTACTCATATAATATTTCAGATACCACGCCATGTAAGATATCACATGATACATAGCATGATGCAAGATATCTCTTTGTTATTCTTCCTTACCTGGTTCTCCTCCAGCAGCTGACAAAATAGTCGGATTCCAATCGACTGCATGCATCATTCTGAATACAAACATAACAAACAGTGACAACGGTGTTCTGTTTGTTGTTCGAAAGGGCACATAAAAGGTAAGGGGAGGCTGCAGTATGTTCCTATAAAGGAATGGTGTTGGTCGAATCACTAGCTTCAAGGCTTGCTTACGGTGTTAAACATAACAGCAGTTGGTTGTGGTTTCTAATTGAAATACATATATTAACATAATTATTAAAAAGTCTGATATACAGATAAGGAAATGGCTGATACTGCTCCAGAGGCGGGTAATGGTTAAAACTCATATGTTGTGCGTCCATGTACGATTGTTTATTTAAGAATGAAATTGAACAAACAGATGTTCTAAATGGAATCAAACCCGTCATATGTATATCCTGATTTTTTCAGTCCAGCTCCATGAACGAACGACGTTACCCTGGTTCCGCCTTCATATATTGTAATTTTAGAGCCTCTCAATGGAAAGTTGTTACCATATAAGGATGGCCAACCACCATTCTGTAAACAAACAAATATCGCATTACGCATTCGCATTAGTCGTTACATTTACAAGATATAGTGAGTACCCCTTTTATCTATTAGATTTAGTACATAGTTGTTTACTTTATATACAATGTTTATGACATTTTGAATATAATTATACTTGTTTATTTTATGTAGAAGGAAGAGAACATATCTTATTTATTATCGTCATTTTATTTTTCTGTATATACTTTATACTTTACATGTATGCTATACTCCCTGACTGTACAAGCAAAACAAAGTCGGATACAGTAGATGTCTGGTGATTAACGTATATAACTCATCTCAGATATTTGTAATATTACACATGATCTGGTTTTCCTTGATTCAAAATGACTAATCATTTGTCATGGGTTCGCCGATTGACCCAAAGTCTAGCTTTTTGTCTTGCACGTGACTAAGTCTACCTAGTGTTTCGAAATTAAGATCCAGACATTTCTATGTAAGAACATTTGTTAGATATTGGATTCCTGTTTTCCTAAAATATTTATTTTGTTATTTTTTCATGTTAAAAAGGTGTATTTTTGTTTAAATAGTAATAAATAAAGAATGTTTGTGAATTCACTGATAATGTTTTAGTCATATAAAACATTTACCTCATTCACTTTATTTGAATATCGAATACTACGTGTTATCTAATGACATGGTCGAGTTTAGATACAAACTGAATATATTATACAACAACTAAAAAACAAGTCTATTAAACTGATTCTATTACACACGTTAGAAACTTAAATTACAAAAACATTAAATATTTCCTCCACAAATACTAAAATAAGTATAAAAACACGAAAGAAAGATCGAAAACATAAATCCATACCTAAAACTTGGATACTTCATAATTAGGACATAAAACGTCCAAAAAGGGGAAAAACCAAAAAAGAAAAAGGGGGAAAAAAACCCAAAAATATTGTAAAAACATCATTTTTTTCCCTCAACAAATACTAAATCAGTATATAAACACAATAGAGAAATCGAAAACGTGCATCTATACTAAAACCTGGATAACTTCACAAAAAGACCATAAAATGAAAAAAAAAGTGTGTGTATGTGTGTGTGGTGGTGGGGGGGGGGGGGGGAGTAAAAGATTAAGGGAAAAGGCACAAAATTTCAATATAACTCACTCTCATCTTACTTAATTATTGTTGCAATCGCATGTGTGTGTTTTATGTTCATCTTTCAGATATCTGGTTTCATAACTTACGTCAGAGGTAAATATGATGAGTGTGTCATTGTAAAGATCATAGTCTTTCAAAGCCTGTGTGACGTTTCCAATAGCGTCATCCATGGCGGTCACCATTCCTAAAACAAAATCAAAAGCGTCAAAAATGAAGTTATTTATATCTTATTAACATATCCTCTTATTCTTCCTATTGTCCTTCTGATATACGGCAACATCGTTACGATGAAATAAACCCTTTGGAAGAAGTATTCTCATATATTAGTATGGCGTTTAGATAACGATATATTAGTGAATCCTTATGTTATAAATAAATAAAAGTTACCTGAAAATTGCCTTCTTCCTTTATTTTGTATGTGTTTGTACATGTTCTCGTACTCAACCGGAACCTGTGTAAGGAAACAACTCGTTAGTGCTTGTACATTAATATATCAGGACATGAAATCAAGATACCCAGGCCTTTATATCGAGATATGGGGAGGAAATAATGAAAAATCTTCAAAATACAGGTGGATGTGTGATTTATATATTGTAGTTAGTTATTTGACTTAGAACATGTGGGGATTTCAAATGATACATGATACCCTTTACTGGATTACCACATAAGTCTCGATTCCAAACATGATCGGATAAAACTTATCAAGCTCAGATGTAAATGAACTTAGTCAACATCTGTACTATAAGAAAATAATGGCAAGTCAATCTACCATTTAATAGCTAAATGACAACTATGATATACTTTGAAACATATCTCAAAAACTTACTGGAAAGGTATTGGGTCATCTGCCCGACCAATATCTTCCCACATTAACACTTTACACTGTTCCATTAAGTCCAACCAAAGTGCTTAATATTAGTTCGAAAGTATTAATTAAGTACTTTATAAAAGTTGGACAATAAATAAAATGAAAGTTCTCTATTGCATTTAAATACATATTGAATATATATGGATGTATCATAAATTAATGGAATGAAGTTATCTCTTTTCATTGAAAGATACAGAGATACATCTGATACTTTGGCTATTAAATGTTGCGTTGGCTTGCCATTACAGCATATCGACTAGTACCATGATAGGTTCATGGACGGACTGGAACGGTAGGTACAAGAAGAACGGCTGGCTAGCATTGTGTTTTGACATAAGCTCCCTTGCCCTTGCACTGTACTGAAACTAAGAAACGACATTAATCATGACAGTGAAATATTTTCTATGATCAATGCTTATTTTAATTGTAACACTTTTAAAATAGCATAATACTTTTCCCTTAAATAGTAAGTTTCCTTCTTCTTTTGCGAAAGTTTAATCAATTTTGCTATAATCATCATTAGTATGTAAATAAATTGAAGAACAATAATAGTCATATGAGATGTTCAAGTACGTAGCACGTACAATGAATGACATTTGGATATTTCTATTTCCTATAATATATTTATGTATCATACAAACAGCCCTTACAGTGGAATACGTCCCTTTTCCTGGGTTCAGAGTTTCCTTGTTATTTCTAAAGTCGAACCCAGCACCTGCAATACAAATCGCTCCCCATTTTAGAAAAATGATAGTTTGTGTAAGACTTTACGAGTTAAGTATACGCTTCAATAGCTATATAATACAAAAACAACGAGACAAGTTAGGAAACGACTTGACATTGCATATTATATAACGCAATTAGTTTTGGATATGTTAATAACATTATATTTGGAAGTGGATGACTGTCAAAAATACATGTATCTTCTAGCTGGCTTATATCAAAAATATTCTGCTAAACAAAAAAAACTGTAACCTTCTGCAATTTGGGTATCTTATTTAATTTCACCGTAGTGTCCTTTTTTTGTTGTATTTTCTTCCGTCTCCATTTAGTGTACCCGTAAAATAACTGTATATCAGTTTATGGGTTCCATTTTGCTTGAAGTTTGCAATAATAAAACTGCAAATATATAGTCAGGTGTTGTTCCATAAATATTTCGTCAATACCTATATTTGTCAATTTTTCCACTGACGGAGAGTATTTAATTACCAAAGTTTTGCTCTTTGGAACATCGGACCGTTAAACCAACTGGACCAGCAATCATTTGGAACTTACCATTTTTCTTGATATAATAGTCCTCTCGTCCTGTCAGATAGCCGTAGTGAGAGTCAAATCCTCGAAATGTTGGCGTGCATTCCCACTTACACAAACCCAGATGCCATCTATCCAAATTAATCATTAATATCATTTTACACATTTATCTGACTAAGGGAGGTATATTTTTACCTATAATATCAGATGTACAAGTTAATTGTGGGAACAACAAATGCGTATAACGAAATACGAAATCAGACTCGTTTTGGCCAAAAACATTTTCCATCTCATTATCACAGTATACCAGTGTCTAATGACTTACTTCCCAATCATGTGAGTAGCATATCCAAGTTTCTGAAGCTTCTGTGGTAGGAACGTGAGGTTTTCTGGAGCACACACAGCTTGTTCCGGCTTTATAACTAAATGCTTAATCAGAAAAATAACGCTATGCATTAATATAGATATATTTTACATGCAATATCCAAAAAGCGACATCTATTTTCGTTACTGTGTTACTACATTTTCATTTACAAAAACGTATATCTGATGTTGATATGAATCTTTAATATGTCTTTTGACAGTATCACATTTTCACCATGTTATCTACGAGTACAAAAAAAGATTATAATGGACGAAGTAAAACGTTTTCAATCAGCATATCTCAAAACCGTTAACAGAGAAGGCGGGAAGTTACTATGAAGAAAGGGAAAGTTAGTGATCGACTAACGCATTACCTGAATAAAGACGTTCAAAGTCGGACAAAAAAGAATGTTGTAGGTACGTTTGTCAGCTGACAACAGAGGCTTTGTTCATGAACACAAGCAACAGGATTATACTTTTACCTGTAGTCCAGCTTTGAAGGGATACACCCCTGTCATAAAGGCATTTCGAGATCTGTAATGGAATGAAAAAAAGAATATGTCACTTCTTGCCCTTAAGTTCATGTTTTAAATGTAGAAATACATGAGGCACATTGAAAATTAATTACTGATGGATTTGTTTTTGTCACAGCAAAACCATCAAGGGTTGCCTGTTATTATGGACTAAAGATGGCTAAATGAATTACTACGAGAACGACACATGGGAGAAACTTATCCTGTTCTGTTACACTATTACTTCGATGGGTTGTTAAGCTGTAGTATGTCTGAGTAATTTATATGCATATATGAGTCTAATAAGAACTAGATACCCGTATTTCGTCATGTCTAATAAATGCATGGCTCAATACCCGTACGCTAAATCAAAGCTTACTGAAATAAGTTATATAAAGTGATTTCTCTTGAAAAGCAAAAATTCCTTTTTCTTGTTTATAGATTTATCACAACATGTTTGTTACTCACAAAATGACCATAAAATTCACATTTTTCTAATACTGACATGTGATACGAGATATTTCTCTTTTTCGTGTTGTGACATTAGCCTGCAGTATACCAAAGTTGTCAGATTGCTATAAAATGTGTGATAAACATGATGACTTAAGCTTGCTTATTTACGATAGTTAACGTCACTTTCTGTAATATAAGCAAGCTAACCTCCTCCTCTGCTTATAACGTATATATGTCACAGTTGATTCACCATCCCTAAGTATGCCCCATTTTATGCGTTCAGTTAACCAGTAAAATTCTTCGGCAGTTCTTTGGTCCTCATTTTAAAGCTCTGATGTATTCCTCGTGTTATGAAACATTTTTTTTTCTAAATCCCATCACCTCACATCCCCCTTTTGGGTTTTTTTCTTTTACTAAAAGACCCTGACAAAATGAAGTGTTTTCGCTGACTCCTTCTCTATAACTGGTTATGTAAAAGATAATTGTGCATTTACGATAGGTAAACCAACGTCTGTAAATACACTCACGGTGTACACACAGGTTGTACGTAAGCTTGGTCCAGAATAACACCTTCTCTCGCGAGTCTGTCTATATTTGGAGTCAATATATAGGGATTGCGGAACCCTACATCATTCCAGCCTGAAAATAATTAAATAAAAATTATATTTAAAAATATTGAACGATTCACTCTAAAGATAATAATCTATCATTCATTTAAGCTTTGCACTGGCTTCATTTCAATATTGTTTATGTCATTGCTACATGTACAACAATGACAATACATACACGTACAGCACGTACATTGGTACCTGTGACTGTCCTTGGCTAGACCTATTACAAATTGCTGTTGTTTCCCGAAGCGTTAACAAACATGTTTTATAATTATATAAACGTTATGTTGAGATGAGATGGTTGATTATGAATTAGTACCTGCTATCTGATTGCTCTGTCACATTATAAGGTGCTAATTTCTAAGGTTAAGTAAACATTTTACAGTCCTGTATTGTCCTTTTCGTTTACGAAGAACTCATCAGTGGTTCTAAAGATCAATAGAAAGAAATCCTGTATAAAGTGTTTTGAAACAATATGCTAAAAACAAAGAAGGGAGAAATGAGTTGATTAAATAACTTATAACCTTACAAGATAATTTTGGCAACAACCTATGATTCAATCTTAAAATGAAGAATGAAACAAGCATTAACGTGTGAAAGGTTGTTAAGGTATCAAAGCGCCCGTCTATATATTTATCATTTCATTTGTTAATTTTTTAACATAGATACAAAACGGGTATTTTCAATTTCACACTCTCTCATAGATGATTTATATTCATATTATTTTAGAAAACACATCGTTGAATTGTTGCGTCATAATTGACATGGGTAAAAATTGTTAGTGTTTTGTGCAATAAGTTTATATCCATGGAGGTCTGTATACAGATCGCCCTACTACATATGTACACGACTTCAGCAGGTACTATAATTACATTCATGTCTTACCACATAACAATAAGTTAGACATGGATCATTAAATCATTAAAGCGGCACATTTTGTCTCTTTTACCGCTCCACTGAAAGACATTCGTGAAAGAGTATGCGTGTTTAACAGGCCATGGGAAGATAACACAAGTTTTTATTTAAAAACATCCTATTTTTATAGCATACCAGGTATTTATTCGTCAGAACATTGCTTCACATACCACAGTATAACGTGTTATGACTCGTGAATTACTCGACGAAAATCCTTATTGTGTTGAGGTATTTATTTCAGTTGTCACAAAATGAAGAATTGAATAGACTGAAATTGTGTACCTTGTCTTTCATTCACCCGATACTAGCTGCACCTGAAACTAGGGGACAAGCGATACACATATATATGTATGTGTTCGTGACAACCCAGTGAATACCAGACAGGAACATCATCAACAGCTTGAAAGACGCTTCTATGATTTTCTTTACTAGCGTTTTAATGTCTCTGAAATTGCCACATACACGTTTGTTTGTGTCCAATTTCATATCTAAGGTATAATCTCGCCATCTTTAGTTAATGAATTAGCTGTTGAGTAAAGTATACCCTGAGGAACCATCTAATGACAGGATAGCTAACTAGCTCTATGTCCTACTCATAATATTTTGTTCAACGCATTGATGCATGTCGATCCCTTACTTTTAGATGTGTACACAGCCACATCTCTCTCTCTTACACATACTTGCGGAAGTTGTATTGATTTATACGAGGTTGGGGTAGCGAGTTTGTCCTTCAAGTATGTACTACAACGTATATGCATGTGGACATAATATTTTAGCAATCCTGCATCGCATGCAACACATGTACACAATACCGCATACTTGTTTATTCTTTGTTGGTAGGTAAATATAAAGTAAATCAGTCGTGCAAATACAGAAAATGCTACCTATTATGTAAGCTATGCATAGTCACAAGTTAACTTCTTTATGTACTCACCTAGATCATCAGCGACAATGAACACGATGTGAGGCGACTTGGTATGCACTTCTGTAAATTTTAGATAAAACAACAAACACCCGATCACGAGACTGAACACAGATGCCATGTTGCTTTATAAATATATGTGTTGAGTGGGTAGACACTGCAGCCTTCACAGTGGCCCTCAACTACTAATAAATATACGGATATACGGTGCGCCGGAACCGAAAAGAGAAGGAACGGTTTGAATTTAGGCAAATAATTGTTTTGAAATGTCTGTTTTGTTTATTTAATTCGGGATTTACGGCCTCGCAATAGCTTTGGCGGTGTTCACAGGTTATAAAACCAATTACGGGCCAATTTACATCGATACGTATGTATTTTTGTAAAAACATGGAAAGACTGACTTTGACAATAAATAATCATTTATTTATATTGGATGAACTTATGTACTTATTTATTACAAGTATGTAAAAAAAACTTTTAGTATAAAGAGGATGATAGTGTCCTCATGATCAATTGTTCAGTCGACATTACTGTTATCTGAACTTCCTTATGAAGCTGATCTTTTACTTAGACATAAAGAATAGATAATTGATAGTTGTTTGCTGTTTTGATATCACCTCAAAAATTGATGAGTTATCGTTAAACAACCGTAAATTTGAAAAATACCTTCATCCATTTCCATCTTTTATCCTTTACTGAAAATAAATATACCATTGACCGTGGACAGTAATTTTTTGAAAACATTTTAAAATATCCCTTTTTTCTATGTTTTTGAACACGTTTAACCACTTTACCAGTTTTCATTCTTTTGACCTTTAGCATCCCTGATGAGTCTTAAATGGAAAAATAACGACAATGTGTAATTTAATATTTACTTCGTGTCGACTTTCTCTTCTTTTTAAAAAGATGCTTACTTATTTCTTATTCACATTGATAATTAAGCACTCCGTCATTCTTTCGATGTCTTTGCTACAATGGGGCCTGTCATTTGGAGATGTATATTATGCTAATCAAAACACTTATTAGGCAGGATTTTCCTACTGGACAGGTTCTGTGTAGGGTGAGGTACTGTGCCCAAAAAGGAACGATTTAAAAAAAAAGATATTAATATTTCCTATAAAGTTTTTGGTAGACCATTTTTTTTAACTTCAATACATGCCTCTAGCATTCATTTAATGTATTTCTTGGGTATCAACAGCGCGTGTGTCTATTTATGGAGCTCATAAAAGTGAGTCAGATTAACATAGAATTTTAAGCTGGTGTAGTACCCAAAATGAAACACTTCATCACATGTCAGTCTATGAAATAACTGACATCATTTAAAATAATTGTCTTCATTTCAAAAAAGGTTTTGACAATTTCTGTCAAATTATTCTCATTTATTTTCTAAAATATTCGTTTGAACATATAATGTTCCATGTTTAGAAATATGATTGAATATTTCTGTTTTCGCATCGTACTGTTTCACGGGATACATTTTCATTTCATATAATTTTGATATTTTAATTGAGTTAATGAGCAATGTTTAAGAGGTAGGTTGATACTATCTGTTCGAAATGCATGAAACTATATAAATTTTGATTGAGAATACATACCATTCATTCTTATTGGAAAATAAAATTGTTGTGTCATATATGTCAAAAGTGTTCCATGTTTGGTACTGTTCCATTGTGGGTACCCTAACACTACATATAATGTTACGGTCGTTTTCACAACCCCTTATGTAACTTTGTTAGTGTCATCTCCCCTAAAAATACAGACCTTGTCACTGTACCTTAAACTACTGGTGACGTACTTTCCTAGATTTGATGAGAGTGGGAGTCAAACGTCGAGCTTGAACGATTCATTTCTGGAGCACTTGGATTCACCTCCGGATTGTCAAGAGTTCATCTGGTGTTTCTTTGGTCACTTTGTTGATGTAACTCGTTACGATATCGTCTCATATGTGGTCGCCTTTGTATGTTTTCAACGTTACATATGTGCCCACCATACTATACATAACAATTACATATACTGTTTTCCATGTCACCATTTCTACAGTAAATACATGTCAGCTGCATTAGTATGATTTTACGATTAAATAATAAAGAACGTAGCAATGTATTGTATGTCAATTTTTATTTTAAACACATCATTAATGAAAAATATAAACCCAAAAGTAAGAGAACATATGTTTGTTACCAAATCAGTTTTAAAAAGTTACAATGACAACTGAAAATCGCGATATATATATAGATATATATGATAGCGATTTTGTTATTCCATTAGCAAAACAAACATTTCTTATTTCAAACTTGAAACAGATTTGTAGATTTGTCATTTGTCCTTCTACAAAAAACAATTATACATGCAGTAGGAAAATGACAAAAGGACGATCTAAAGTGTACCCACTGGATTTGGTAATATTTTACTGTTTCATTGACTTAATTCAAAACATTTGTTGGACAAGCTCTATTACAGCAACCATAAAAATCGCAAAACTCCCGGGCATATATGATACACAGTGACATCTATTTAGATGATAAACTATAACATTCCCCTGGGGAAAGAATACGCCTGCTGTATCCCATTGCATAGTTCGTTGTATAGAAGTAACGCTCTTAGAGAAAAGTCTACTTAATAAACAAGAACAAAATAATGCACATAACGGCCAAACAAATATCAAATGAAAAACATCAGCAAAAATGCCAACTAGTCTAGTATACGCAGATCCTGGTCATCTGTTGGAATCATCTCCTACCTATGGATACACATACATTAGGTTCTAGACAATGTATACACTTACTGCTGATAACAAACTTGCCGTGACCATTTGGTATTAACGTCTTCGACAGTAAGACTGTTATTCGTTGTTTTTATGTTGTAGTTTGCACTCTTTTCAAAAAAACTAATGGGTAATGAACGATTTGCAGCGAGTTATTAAAGGTCACTAAAATTCCTATTTAATGCATTTTTACAGCTTTAATACTTTTCGTGAGATTAATTCAACCATCAGTGTGGTGTAAATTTGTATTCTGTAAACGAGTTATTTCAAATGTTTATCACAATAACACAACGACTGGCTTCAGCAAAGTTCAACAAAAATGTAAAATTTAATGAAATACATAGACAAACATCAAGAAATCAAAAATGTCTTGGGAAACCACCAAACTTTCCAATGGCTAACATGATGCATTTTTCAGTAAATTACTTTAGAGATTTATATTGCACTGTACATGTAATATAATTAAAACACTAATGGATAAAAAAACAATTTTACATATCAGCCATTACCGTATAGCAAGGATATTAAACGTTTGGCAAATACATCTTTGATAATCTAATCAAAGTCTTGTAGACATTTGATGCAGACGGTGTAAATACTTTTGGGCATTATTAGGATATTATACAAAGTAGTATACGTAAATTCGCCTTATATAGGTTTAGCTAATCGTCAATATTTCTATTTATCAAAAAACGCAAAACGTAAATATTTTTTCCAGTATGGTCCAGCTATCCTTTTAAAGTTACGAGTTTACAATGACAATGTTGACAGAAATGTAAATAAATAATATATCTGTTAGCCTTTGTACTTCGCCAACTGTCAAAAACGCCACATAAAATGTATATATTTATCCTCGTCGCATAAGTCCTGGTTCCTTCTTAGTGATATATCCGTTGTAGTTATGTTACGAGTATGTATTATCAAACACTGCTCCTCTTACGTGTATTAAATATACTGTTTCAGAGGTCATTCATAGCATCGTAGACTTATCGGACCACAACGAATCATATCAATAATTCATGAACACTGTTAACGCTATTACCTCTTTACGATATAAAATATATCAGAAAGTACATAAACTATAAATCAATGTCAGCACCATCCTGGAGTCCAAAATCCATTATAGTTCTTAGGGTTGGCCGCTGACGTTGCTGCTGGGTAGTTAGCCGGGACCATCTGTTTGTGGTACTCCTCCATCCTCGTCCGAAGTTTCTCAACAACGTCCGGCAGTTTGTTCGATAGATCAATATGTTCGTTTGGATCATCTGTTACCAAAAACACGTCAATTGAAACTACAGCATTAAGACAATTATTTTATTAAGATAAAGAATTTTCGACAATATTTAAATACCGGTTATTACAGGGTTGTAATAAGTGTAAACGAGATACATGGTTACTTTATTGTATTTATTAAAATTGTCAACAGTATGCAATTGAAATGGAAACTTCTTTTTTTCAAAAACAAATCTTAATATAACATGGGGTTTTGTAATATATGTGACGGATTACAATGTAATGTATTGTCAGATCAGAGACAATATTATTTCCGGATATTTGCTTATGGTTACAACTTTTCAGGAGAAAGAATATAATAATGATTTATGAAATGTATTTAACACATGATGACCTCGTGTTTGGTAAATAGACCGCGCACTATTTTGAATGGGCTACTTACCATAATGCTGTTGTTTTTTGCTATAACCTGGTCAGATTTGCTTAAAATTTTATCAATGGTGTTGTTCGGTAAAAATCGGTATGTAGGCATCAAAGATGTAACAAACCAACGCTTTTTCTATCATCACTTTATATCTAGTCAAAAAGAAAATCTTCTGTTTTGAAAGCACTGAATGGAAAGTACCGTTCTGATCGATCAATACCAACTATCATTTCTTCACTCTATGACAGATATCATTTTTGATATTTATTACAGTATGAAAGATATACGTTTTATAAAATGATCAATAAATTACATACTCATGTTTTCAAAGAGCATGTAACATGGTAAGAATATGTTTGTAAATTAACATTGGTAAATGCGAAGACATAACACGTTAAGCATTTTGCATGGTTATTGAATTAGGTGTAATTTAAAAAATATCGAAAAGTATGTAGCAAATGTCACCTTTAAGATTGAACAGCTGTGTTGTATTATCCTGACTGCCATCGTAGGGTGTTTCTTTGACATGGACGTCACCCTTGTATGTGGGAGGAGGATACCAGCCTGGATACAGACCGGGGTAGCCAACAATCAGCTTATAATCTCCCATACTGTCAAAAAAATAGCAAATTATAAAATGATAATCAATTGTTTACTTAGAGTGCATACACTCAGGTATCGTTTGCATGTCATATAAACCTTACACAGGCTAGAGTGCACCGAATTATATAATGAACACATCTTACCTGGGTTTGAACAGTTGTATGCGATCTATGTGCATTTCAGCGTATCCTAACATGCGACACCAATATCTTCTATTTTCGTACATTTGTACTTAACATAAAAAGCCATCACTAATCAACTGAAATATTTAGTATCATGAGCAATTTACATGATTTAAAAAGAAAATGTCTGACTTGTTTACTGGTTAATTTAAACCTAATGCTATCAAATGAACAATCAACCAATCTTACATAGCAAACAGTTTGGCTCCTGCTTAAACAGCACAATAGTCGTCTACAGCCATGACAACAATAGACTGATACATATTTTGACTAATAAATCTCTAACAGAGCTTCTCACCGAATTGCTGCATGGCCTGTCTCATACGGAGCTAGGTCGTCCAGGTTGTAGATAAACTCCGTCCGGTCAGACGGACCACCAGTCCGGATATTGTCCCACTGGTTAATGCCATCAATGTCCTTTTCTGAAGTTACAAGGAAATATTTATTTCAGCCGATTTCGTGTTGAACAAATAAATTAAAAAACGTCCGTCTATAGAACAGATTGAGCAAATAGCAATCTAACCAGGGCTTCGATAAACTCTCGAGAGTATTTTAAATTGCAATACCCTAGCTGCAGTACTTCGTCAATAACTGAACTAAACGCAAACACTTTACTTAGACAAGAGGTCGACGTGAAAGTCGGTGTTACAAAATGCTGTAAAACACGCTGTATTTATCAAATCGTTCATGCATTGGAAGTTACGTAACATTGGTTGCCGTACTTAATCCATAGCTGGCTTAAAAGCAAAGATTTAACCTGTTTGACATACATGCATGTGTACGGCAGGCAACGGTCAGCTTAATGACTCGCTCTACTTCGTGCGTTGCGTAAAATAGTTTTAAGAGACAATTTAAGACACCATGGTGTACTTAACGTAGCCTATACTACACCATATGACAGACGAGAGTGGACATTCCTACATGAAATTAAGGACACGTATAGTGGCATGAAAAGACGTTTAAGCATCACAACAGGTCGGGTACGTTACCAGGCACTCCCCCAGCAGCTGCTACTAACGTTGGACTCCAGTCAACAGCGTGAATCATCCTGAAATGCAATAACATTACCAATATATTAACGGCTATAATTTGTATTTATGTAACAATGAAAAACATTTAAATGGGTTATTATTTGTAATATAGGCATTAGTATCCTCTTTTGCATTAAATTGGGCTGAACATTTCAGGAACAGTACAACTTGAAATGCAACTGTGTATCTCAACCTTGAGGACGGGTCTATTTTCAAAAAATAGTGGGGTCATAGAACTTACCATATTTATCTTCTACTTATCTTTCATTTGTTTTTCATTTTGGATATTGATAGAAATTAAGAACATTCTGAAAATCGGCAAGAACCAATCTTTATGACATAGCTTAATGATACATTCTTCACAAATAAGTACATTCATATTTTCAAGCCTGACATTAATTGAATATAAATTCTAGAAAATATTTAATGAAAATGCCGGATTATTGCTCCCTAGTATTTTTGGATCGGTCATGTGGTAATGTTAACACAAAACTTGTTAAAAAGTTGCTAAAACGTACACTTTCTACATATTACACAGCTATGAATACTTACAACAGCTATGTAATATACAGCAAATCCTGTAATAGATGTCATTAGTTATATACCCTTCATACGTGTATCCCGTCTTCTGGAGGCCGTCACCGTGTACGAATGACGTCGCCCTGGTACCGCCTTCGTATATCGTTATCTTGGAGCCTCGCAGTGGGAAATTGTTACCAAACTCGGTGGGCCAACCGCCATTCTAGAACAAAATAAAACATAAAAGTATGCTGAAGTTGCAGTCAAACGCTTTTGATAGACGACATTGAAATACCCGTCCAACGAATGTTAATATTTGTTTAATCCCACAACAGAATCCAAACGGACATGTAGCAATATTGAGCAACAAAATCCTACTGGAATCTTACAAAGTTATAAAAGAGCAAAATATTTATGTGTCGTAATCTATCTCATCCTATGGTATAGGGTATAGATATAGTCATATTTTAAATATTTTGTCATTAAAAACTCGAGCTACAAAATTGATTTCATATATGAAATGTAAACTTGAAACTACTTAATTCAAATCATTTGTATTTCTCTTCTTTTTGTCACGTTACTCTGCGATGTGAAGGATATGGCCACTTGGAATCAGAGGTCAAGCTTTGTTGACCTTTCATTAAATAACTGGAGGAACTAGAACGCTGACAGGTCAGTAAGGGCCCCGTCTTGCGGCAATTATATCCCCCATAATCATCAAGAAGCAATCTGCCCATATAGCTGAGCTTGACGTTTGACATTTGACAAAAAGAATCGCAAGGAAGCAAAATACCCATTTTACATGTACTATGATGTGATGTGTTTCCTTCCACCTCCATACTTGCTGGGCTAACAGAAATGTAATTACCGGTGCAATACTCATTTGTTTGCTTTAATTTGTTTAATTTCACCTTATATACCTTCTACATCAAGAGCCAGGATCAAAGTCAGAGATCCACTTTGTCTTTGACCTTTCGACCCAAATGACCTTAACCATTAACCCAGTTACCCTGATCTTTGGTCAGTTGACTTATTCTTTAATTCCGACCAACTTTGCTTCTTAATATCATAACAAAATGTTCATCAGTGGAAAATACAAAACTTCACCTTGACCCTTTGGACCCAGTAACCTTGAACTAAGGTCAGTTGATTTTGTGTTAAGTTCTGAACAACATTGCTTCATAATGTCATAATAAAATGTTCATCAGGGAAAAGGTACAAAATGTTAACCTTGACCTTTGACCAAGTCACCTTGACCTTTGGTCAATTGACTCCTTGTTAAATTCTGAGCAACATTGCTTCAAAGTGTCATAGTGAAATGTTCACCAGTGAAAAGATACAAAATTTAACATTGACCTTTGACCCAATGACCTTGACCTTTGGTCAGTTGACTCGTTGATTAATTCTGATCAACTTTGCTTCATCATGTCATAACAAAATGTTCATCAGTAAAAAGATGCAAAATTTGACCTTGACCTTTGAATTTCATGATCTGACCTTTGACCTAAACTTTTTACCTCAGTGTGTCTCTTTGTTTAATTCCGAACAACTTTGCTTCATAATGTCATAGCGAAATGTTCACTAGTGAAAAGCTACAAAATTTGACCTTGACCCCCTAACCCGATGACCTTGACCTTTGGTCAGTTGAATCCTTGTTTAATTCTGATCAACTTTGCTTCATAATATCATAACAAAATGTTCATCAGTGAAAAGATGTAAAATTTGACCTTGATCTTTGAACCTTATGACCTTGACCTTTGACCTTGACTTTTTACCTCAGTGTGTTTTTTTATAAACTGAACATCTTGACCAAGTTTCATGTACATCAGTCAATAAATACTAAAGATATCAGCCAGGAACAAAATTTGTGGACGGACAGACAGACAGACAGACAGAGTGATTACTTTAGGGCACCCGTATCTCCGATACGGTGCCCTAATTATTAAAATCATATGTTTTCCAGAACTGATTATAGGTCGCCACACTAATTGGTTAGAGTAAAAGGCATCTGTAATATTTGACAAATGTCAGAAAATACTTTAGCAATACGCAGGTACACATGTAAGCCTCTTGCAGTCAATTTGAAGTGTCAGCAACTTGTTTTTTTAAGATGTTCAATATTTTCATGTCGGTGCATTTTATACATAAAAACATATGGACTTACGTCCGATGTAAACACAATCAGTGTATCGTCGTACATGCCATGCACCTTGAGAGCATTTGTCACGTTACCTATGACGTCATCCATTGCTGTAACCATGCCTACAGAAAACGATGAAAGTAAATATTTTTTGTCGAAAATATTTTATCATCTAACACGTTAATTCATGTGCTATTCTTGTTGAGTGTATTCTTAATCGTCATACATGTTTCATATCTGTGATAAATAACATATTACCGTTTCGAAAAAAAGAGGCATAAAAAAACGATGGAGGGGAGGGATTAATCATTCTTTCTGATAATTCAGGACAGTTCGTGTATTCAAATACTAGTTTTTTGCCGTAATCAGAAGCTTTTAGACTTGCTAAAGCATAGGATTTCGTTGTGACTTTATCAAATACAATGTAAATAATAGTTCATTTGGTTCGTCACTAACTTTCTCATAAATGAAAATAAATATTACAAACAGTTAGTGTTGAACTTTGTGTGAAAGGATGTTCGCAGCATAGTTATTATATCGACTACTCTTTGTTGGAATACAATGAAATACTTAACTTATCCGATAAGTACACTAAACAGTATACATTTCTGATATCGTATTGGTCTGAACTTGATATCACAATATACGAAAATATTGTCTCACCAGAAAATTTTCTTCTTCCTTCATTACGTATGTTTTTGTACATATTCTCGTACTCAATTGGTACCTGAAAGTCAATTACGTCATCATAAGTACATTATCTCTTTGGTATACACAACATAATGACTTCGCTTACAATGAAAATCTATATAGGTCCCAATATGTATCTTTAAATTACTAACGTTTAACTTGCTAGTTCTATCTACTGATCATTTCATGAAGTTTTACCACTTGTTTCTTAAGTTGTTTTTTTCTGAAATCTTTCTTTGAAACCAGGAACATAATTAACTCAAATCATATAAATGTGATGTAATCCTTTATAATATCTTTTCCTAAAAAGACGAGAAACGAATTTCGTGATATATATACTATGGCCGTTCAAAATTAGGAATGAAAACTTAGTTTTATATTGCTATTTGGCGAAAAGCCTCGTTATTGACTTTACTGATTCGGCACACTGTGGCCAAGTGAGTTGCTTTCAGTGGTTTAGAGTCGAGACACCGGTCATTTACACTCTTCCCTTGACAAAGGGACGTTTTCGAAAGATCGCAAAATAAGTTTTCGATTTCTGTCTGTTTTAAAAAAATAACTTAGCATTTATTTGCAGTTGAGAAATGTTAATATACATATATCATGAAGGTTAAAAACAGTAAGGACAAATAAACGTGGTAGATCACTCTATGTAGCAGTATGCCTTCTAGGTTTTAATTACCTCGATCGGTGAGTGAACAGACTGCAGAGGCATATACATGAAGAAGGGCTGACTTTTGTTGTGTTGTCCTATCACCTCCAATGCTCGAGCAGTATATTGAAACTGAAATAATTTCAGAGTAGTGACAATTATTAATGTAATCACTTATTTATTGAGATCTCCTGTATACACAGTCCACTGCATACTCATGTTGTTATCTGACATCACGGACAGTATGTGTTTATTTTGGGACAAATACATTATCGTGACACAGATAGAGTCATATGCGTGACATTAATTTAATTTCATACTTTCACCTATAATTGTTCTTTTTATGGATGCCATTGTTTCTGAAAAACGTTACTGGGGATTATCTTTTTATTTATGTTTCCCTTTAACTGTGAATCTCCAGTGATGTATGATTCACATTTGTACAGCCGGTAGTATAACTTATTTCAATTAAAACAGTCGTCATTAATGGATTGAATGTTATTGATTTTTAAAACACAATAAACATACCGTTGAGTAATCGCCTATGGCTCTTTTTTCAGTTTCCATGTTATTTCTGAAGTCGAAGCCAAGATTTCCGTCACGAACTAAAATTTGATGAGGACGAATGATTCTTAATTTATTTCATATACATTAAAACGTATCCAAGTTCTTATTAGTTGCTGTGGACGTGTGGTCTTAACAAGAGATCCCAGAGGGATCTTGGCGCCCACCTTTGTACCATCTTCATTAGTTCTTTGTCAGTTCGATCTTTTCTCTTCTTTCCTCTAATCTGTTTGATCGAGTCATATTAACAGTAAATGCACCTTGAGGTAACTTTTGATCTAAACTTAATACTGATGTGTATGAAAGCCAACCTTCAAAGTGAGTTTGTCATTTCACATATTTACTAGTACAGTACTTAATGTGAAAGAAATAGAATCGATCATTGCAATATGAGAAAGATCTGTTTAGTTCTTCTTTTAATCCATTTTGTTTTTATGATCAGTCTCAAAATATAACATACACAACGAGGGATCAAGGGGAACCTACATTTAAAATTTGAGAAAGATCCCTCCCGTACTTCCCGAGAAATAGCGATAACAAACTTTCACTATCAAAATCCAAGATGGCTGCCTGTCGGCCATGTTGTTTATCCGATCAGGTTCAAAAGTTGCCCTTCACAGCTAAGGACCATAGGAACCTACATATAAAATTTAAGAAAGATCCCTCTAGTTCTTCCGGAGAAATAGCGGTAACAAACCCACACTATCAAAATCCAAGATGGCTACCTGTCGGCCATGTTGTTTATCCGATCAATCTCAAAAGTTGCCCTGCACAGCTAAGGACCAAGGGGAACCTACATATAAAATTTGAGAAAGATCCCTCTGGTACTTCTTGAGAAATAGCGATAACAAACTTTCAATATCAAAATCCAAGATGGCTGCCTGTCGGCCATGTTGTTTATCCGATCAGTCTCAAAAATTGCCCAGCACAGCTCAGGCCCAAGGGGAACCTACATATAAAATTGGAGAAAGATCCCTCTGGTACTTCTTGAGAAATAGCGATAACAAACTTTCAATATCAAAATCCGAGATGGCTGCCTGTCGGCCATGTTGTTTATCTGATCAGTCTCAAAAGTTGCCCAGCACAGCTCAGGACCAAGGGGGGCACCTACATATAAAATTTGAGAAAGATCCCTCTGGGATTTCTTGAGAAATAGCGATAACAAACTTTCAATATCAAAATCCAAGATGGCTGCCTGTCAGCCATGTTGTTTATCCGATCAGTCTCTAAAATTGCCCTGCACAGCTTAGGACCAAGGGGAACCTACATATAAAATTGGAGAAAGACCCCTCTGGTACTTCTTGAGAAATAGCGATAACAAACTTTCCATATCAAAATCCAAGATGGCTGCCTGTCGGCCATGTTGTTTATCTGATCAGTCTCAAAAGTTGCCCAGCACAGCTCAGGACCAAGGGGGGAACCTACATATAAAATTTGAGAAAGATCCCTCTGGTATTTCTTGAGAAATAGCGATAACAAACATTCAATATCAAAATCCGAGATGGCTGCCTGTCGGCCCCCTTGTTTATCCGATCAGTCTCAAAAGTTGCCCAGCACAGCTCAGGACCAAGGGGAACTTACATATAAAATTTGCGAAAGATCCCTCTGGTATTTCTTGAGAAATAACGATAACAAACTTTCACTATTAAAATCCAAGATGGCTGCCTGTCAGCCATGTTGTTTATCCGATCAGTCTCAAAAGTTGCCCAGCACATCTCAGGACCAAGGGGGGAACCTACATATAAAATTGGAGAAAGATCCCTCTGGTACTTCTTGAGAAATACCGATAAAAAATAATTGTTTACGGACGGACGACGGACGACGGACAACGGACGGACGACAGACCACGGTCGCAGGGTGATTTGAATAGCCCACCATCAGATGATGGTGGGCTAAAAAGATGAATAAATCTTCCTTTACTGATATTAAGATAAACGAAACGCAAATAGCATATAACGATGTTGAATATATTAATTTCCAAGACCTTTCTAGATAAATGCGAATTCCGATTTAAAAAAGAAAATTTGTTAAATAATGCTGACACAAAGTATTGATTTGAGACAAAATGAAACATTAAAACACATTATTGAAAATGGCATTAATAAGTAAATGTTAAAAACCTATTCCACTGAAACTTTTATCTGTATATTATAAACAAATTAAACCTTGAAATTTCTGCGACACTTCAGTCATCGACCTTTGAAACATGTTTTGCTGCTTTAATTCCATTGAAAACTGAACAAAAACATATTTATTAATACATACCGTTTGTCTTTTTGTAGTAATCTTCGTGGCTAGTGTAGTAACCGTAAAAAGTGTCGAACCCGCGGTAGGTAGGTGTACACTGCCACTTACAGAACCCGAGGTGCCATCTACAACGTCAATCAACATGTAACACTGTCCATAGGTCTCACACTTTAGGGCACTGCACTGATAAGTTTAACGTATTGTATCAATCAACTTATGCCATTATCAACTATTAGAACATGATTTACATGAAAGCATGGTATGTTGAGATTAAAGCATCACAAACGATTTTCCAATGCTTGCTTCTCGTTTAAATATAAATAGGGTTTAATATGGAATTAACAACATCAAACAGACGGTACCAAAGCCGCCATTAACCTCTTTCAACGTGAATTGATGACGTCATTACGTTGTTTATGTTTTTGTCACAGTCAGTTTTACTACACATTGACCCCCTAAAAACATTTCATAATCAACATAAGATTCTTACGCTTATTTTCTGTGCTGTTCTAGTTGTTAATTGGTCCTCAAACAATTATGTAGTACGTATAACACTTTATGTATGACAATGATCTACTGAAACGATTTCTTACTTTTCAAAACTTGTTTGTTTGAAGTCACTTACTTTCCTATCATATGTGTGGAATAACCAAGTTTCTTGAGCTGTTTTGGCAGGAATGTGAGATTGGTTGGTGAGCACACCTTTTGATCTGGCCAAATCACCAAATGCTGTAAACATCAAACGTATCCGCTCATTCCTCAGTTAACCCTGCCAGACCTTAAAAAACATTTTCTAAGCTTATATTTTTTGCCGTTTTCGTATTTTGTATCTGTTATGCATGCATAACTTTTGGCAAAACATCATTTCTGATTACCTTTTTTTTGTCTGTAGTGATATTTTCAGATTTATATCTAATAAGGTTTTTTTATCCTGGATTGCATGACACGATTAAGCTAATGGTATTCATAGAAACTAAAATATTGCAGTACGATTACGCTGATACAGAAATTGTGATGCTGTATTCTATAATATATATTATAAATTCTCATCATTATTATATAACATCAAAACAATCTCACCTGCAGACCAGTTTTGAAAGGATACACCCCTGTCATGAAAGCACTTCGTGATCTACAAAATAAAAAATGCTTATAAATCTTATATGAATAATGTCAATAAACAAGCATTGCAATGTCTATAAACAAGCATTACAATGCCATAAAGGGTTAATTAGGAATTAAAACATTAATATAACTGGTAAACAAACCATGTACAAGACATAACTTTATCTCTGAACCAAACTCAAAGAAGAAAAACCACAATAGGAGATTTTATGTTACTTCTGTTGGCCGATAAATGTTTGTGGCTAACATAATAAAACATGTATCGGTAGCTTCAAATATAAACTAACAATGTATGACATATATAAGGTAAGGTAACAATGCAAATCTTGTGTTTTGAAACATAGTTAAAATTCATTAATCCGTCTTTGCATATTGCAGAGTTATCTTCTCTTGGGAGCAGGTATTGATTGTTACGTCACTTGTTTGTGAGAGTAACGTCATCAATTTTTGAGAAAACGACGTAATTTTCTCACCCAAACCAATGACGTAACAATCAATACCTGCTCCAAAGAGAAGATAACTCTGCAATACGCAAAGACGGAATAAAGCAATTGACAACTGAAACAGGACAACATAAACCACTATGTTAAACGGTTTAAGAGCTCATTTATCATCTGTATCGTTACGTATTTAGTAGCATGTAGTTAATATTGAGACAAATATAATGTCAACAAAGTTAAAACGTTATCAATTAAAAACATGATTGGGAAACAGACATTATGTCAAAAGTACGAGAACATGTCCCATGTGTAGACAACACACACACTACAATACTTACGGCGAACACACGGGTTGTACATAAGCACGATCCAGTATGACCCCCTCCTTAGCCAATTTGTCAATGTTGGGGGACGAAATGTTAGGGTTACGAAATCCTACGTCATTCCAACCTGGAAAAGTACATTTCGATGTTCGCCAATGTTTTATGATTATCACGCTACATGTGCTTTATTTAGAGAGACTATAATGTAATATACAATCGCATTGTTCTTTTTCAAAACATTTTAATTGCATTCATCTAAATCGAGTCCTCATCCACTATAACAATAGAAATCACAATTCCCCAAAAATATGTTTTCTTTTACTCAATTTTCTATTATTTTTAACAAACTGTGTGTAAAATGTATTAGCCTTTAGATTCACAATCATCATCGACAACTATACTCGTTACTTGATAATACAGATAATTCAGAAACTCAGCAATGTACGTAATATATATTCAAGTGTTGTATCTTGCTTTTGACGACTTCCAGGCGCGATGAATTGGATTGGTCTTGACAGAAATTATATTAACTTCGAAGACAGTTCGTATCGAATTTGTCTTGAGATCTGCCATCAGTCTGACGACTGTTTAACAAACAACCAGTTACTGTCCTCCAATGAGTAGCTGCCCGTCATCATATCACTACAGTTGCTGCAAGGACGTTAGACCCCAAACAAATCATAGCACAGCTAGGTTACATGTACGATACATTGAGTACAGTTTTTCATCAAAATGATTTGTTTTCATGGTTTTATTGTTGTGCTTTATTTGTAATAATTTAATTGATGTAACAAGTTTATAAATAAATGATATAATTACCCAATTCCACATATTTGGAATAGACAATTTATGGCAATTTTAGACAGCTCTAATCAATGTACTCATTTAAGACTATGATAAACTGTTTCTTGAGAAAAACCTTTAATTATTATCGGTTTACTGTTCGTCACTTTGTTTTCGCGTGTACTTATTTTCGCGATTACTTCCTTCAATCACATATAAGAGAAGAATTCGCGAAAGGAACAAAACATCGATGTACGTTCCCAATTCAATTATGTTTGCATAGAAATTTGCGAGGTAATTTAATAGATGGTCGTCAGTCCTCTAGCTATAACTCGAAAATTAATATTTCGCGATACTTTTAAAGTGATTTGAAGTACACAAGACAGCGGGAGCTTGGAATACAAACATTGTACCTGGTACAGCTATCTCACGTTTTGAGCTGTCAACACATACTTTCTAAATAGGACAGATATGTGATTGACATACGTTCTACAACACGTGACTTACACATTTGTACATCAGAGCTGAAGAAGGGATATCGATTAGTCTGGAGCAGGATAAACATATACACTGTGTAACACACTTACAGAAAAAAAACATTTTAAAAAATCGTCTTTTTATTGTGTGCACTGATATTGATTCATGTGTGTTGGGACACTGAACCCCTATATACTTATACAAACTAGCATAGTGTAAACTATATAGCCGGGTGTAACTATACCACACTCTGTATATAACTGCCATGTTTACATTGTGAATACACAGGCACATTAACTAACGAGTTGTACTATTTTAAAGCTCTATATGTAGGTTGAGGTTGTGATTCACAAGCAATTGTAACACTAGAGTATACACATACATAATACTCGGTATACAAACATTGATGTACATATACTTACCGAAGTCGTCTGCTACTATAAATAGTATGTGTCTCGATTTGGCATGTACCACCTTAAGCATGCAGAAAACAAACAGGACATTCTGTAAACGAATCTTCATTTTGTCTGGGTTCTCTAGGCGAAAAACACTCGATATTTAACGTACAGCTGGCTCTTGAAAAACACCGCAAAACCTTATGACTTCAGCAGTTCGACCTTGTGCAGCCAGGTATAACGCGCGTTTTCTAATGGCGTCTATTCTATTTTTGCATAATGACGGCGAATGCTATATTTTCAATGTCTTCCGTACATTTAGTTGACCTCGTTTTAGATGTATTCCGCCAATGTTGACTATAATAAACAAGAATGATATCGATTTTAAAGGAAATGCAGAAAGTTAAATCAAAGACTGTACAGTAAAGAAGTTATAAACATTGTTGAATATACACACGTTTATACGCAGCAAATAGTCTTGATTATTTCTGTCAAACATGTTTGTTGGAATAAAGAGAAAATGCATCGAAAAAGTTTAAATAAGCAATTTTGAAGAAGGGTACATTTTTGTAATTAACATATTTCCAGGTATTTGTATACGACAAAATAAGTATTGAATGTTATAAAACAATTGTGAAATAAGACTCAATTTATAGCTTTACGTGTAAATACTTTTTTGTTTTGTTTTGTTTTTTATACATAACTGATTAAACGGAAGTACCGTGTATTACTCAGTTGACCGGTCACCATACGATAAAAGTTTGGCACACTTTTGTTATGTTAATATCGCTAAGTGAATTTTCATGGTAATTTCCTCATTACATTTTATAGTTCAAAATACTTATTTTATTACCTAAATGTGATCTCAGAGTTATTTAAAATGACCTCATTCCTAAATAAATGTATCAATCATAATCAAATTTCCGGCTTTTTCTCCCCAAGTCCTTTTTGTTCAAATATATCACACAAGGCCACCCATGCCGACTGTACACACCCGTATGTGCTGGTGCTGTTGAAACCAAGGTTATAAAACTGTCCTAATGTAATATGACTTAATGATCGAGTTACTGGCGAATATAACAAGTTGATTTATATATGCTTAACGACACAACTATGACAAATCCTTGTTCATCGTTGGATCGTTAAGTTCCATTACCACTTGTGTAAATTATCCCCCGACGGTTTAGTTTTTATGTTGTTTGGGGTTAACATCCTTGCAACACCCAGGGTCATACATATATGAGGACGACGATAGCTAAGGCTAAGGCATGTCTCATTATGGAGTATACTGGTAAAAAAATCGAACCATATGAAAACCAGTGGACGCGAATTCAGAGTTAGAGTGGCACGTGGCTATTAAAATTTCATCCCGATAAACGTAAACCCATGTGATATGCACAGGGTTACCTCCATGTATACCAGCTATATAAAATCATCTGTTTACGATGTTTGATAGTTGTCGGAGTCCGTCAATATCGGCAGTATTTTTCATTTGTCAATTAATCGAATATCCTGGATGATGACATTAGGAACTACTCACATGGCTATTTTGGAAATGAGGTTGAAATCTGCCTGGCAGTTTAGGCGAGCCTCCTATGAATGATAGCCAATCTAATTGCATAACTTTTGATCCCCGCTGGCTCAGGATGCAAACCAAAATCCGGTTATAGTCTGACCAACAGATATAGAAGAAGTCGTTTAAAGCAAATTTTCCCAATCAGCCCTGCCTCTCAACCCAAAAAGGATAAGCTTTTGTATATGCATAACATTTTATCCGTATGGGCTGAACATGCAAACATTGGTTGAAATCTGCCCAGTAATTTGGAACTAGCTGTCATTAAGAGCAAATCAGCCATTTTTAGTCTTCACAGCGTATTGTATGTTGTTTCTGTGGTAGTGCGAAATATAAAAACACATAATAGTATAGATAACACGCGTCTAATGTTGTAAAAAGGGTAATTAAGTGAATAGCGATGTATCAACAAAACCTTAATTCGAAATCGATGAAATTTTGGCAAATTATGAGATTAACATGAAGACCCTTAAAAAGTACACGGAGAATAAGACCAGATACTCCGAAAGGGTAAGCGTTCTCTGCTTCATCAACGACACTCGCCATGTAAATGTATATACAATCTAAGTAATCCCACGTATTTATAATAGGAACTGGGGCAGTAATAACAAAATGACAAGGTACACTATTGAAAATGATATAAAACACTGACCTTCATATCACACAAAGAAATACCACATTTCTCAACGAGATTATGGTGGCGATCATTAAAGTTGTACATAGTCGTCATCTACCTTCATCTTTGGACATCCTTTAGTGTAAGTCTTAAGGTCAGTAGCCGATACCTATCCTGGTGTTATGATATTTGGAGCAAGCTCTTAAATTGTGAATACACTGCGACATGTAAACAACGTAGCTTGGAGTGCATGGATGTTACTATCAAGAAAGGTAAAGTACATGCTCGGAAAATCGAAATAGTCCCGCTAATTGTACAGCTCTGTATAACCGTCCCTGCTGTTGATGTTGTAAGTTAAGATATTTAGTGTCATTGATTTCAAGCTCTGGATGGTATATGCAATCGACATGGTCGATGGGTTTCTAGTTTTTAAAGACAGTACATCATCGATATATGTGAATGTGAAATTGAATGACTGTGCCAGGTTTTTAACGGAATTTGAAAGTACTTGTATACACCTACGGTAGAGACCATGTGTATGAGGGTGTATAATAAAGCACATACAGTAAATACCATGCATCAGTAGTAGAGTACAATGTACGAAAATATATAGGTACACCAGGTACGGCAGATACAAAGTGTCTTTGAATGTATATCATGTAGATACAAAGTGTCTTTGAACGTATATTAAAGAACTACCGGAAGATATATTTTTTATAAGAAGGCAATTATATTACATATTGTTTAGCATCTAAAGTTGTTTAAAGTAGCAATCGTAATAGGTATTAACAAATATAGAAACAACTGCATGAATATTTGAATATTAATTTGATTTATTGTTGTGCTAAACATTTGGTTTCATTAACCATTTTATGGTACTCCTTTATACATGTAATGTCACAATACCTGCAACGACACATACCAAAACACAACACATGATGAACCAAAACCTAGAAACAGGGTTCTGTAAAATTTTAGCATTTCATAAGGGTGTTCGGTTGCACAGTAGATAGTGCCCTAACGTTTTACCAAAGACAGCTTGCCGAGATCCCCTGGTCGAACATGAAAGGTATGAAGTCACCTGCCCGAACACAAAGGTTTTCTCCAAATATTCTTGTTTCATTCTAATAAAAATCCCCCATGCTACCATCTGAGCAAACAACAGTGATTGTTATAATTTTATAAAACCTTGTCTCATTATTGTATTTAAATAAATTAAGGTTAAATAAAAAGCATTATTGCATCTTAACAAGTATTAAATATTTTTGGATAAGCTGTAAGTACCTTTATCTAACAAACTAGGCGCTTCCCATAAATGCATCCTTCATGTCTGAAGTATATTTTGGAAATGAAAGCTGAGTATAGTATACACAATCAGCAAAAATACAACTGTATATTGGAACTGACAAGTTATAAAGCTATGATATATGTTGTTGTTATATTTGTATAGGAAACAGCATATTTACACACAAAAATGATAGTAAGAAAAGAAGAAAAAAATAAAGCATGAATAACAAATCAAAACTTCATTCATACTGAATACTATCGGATTGTCTTTCATCGAGATACAATGAATAAGATCTGTCACCTCAAACCAGATTATTTCTTTCTAAGGCAAAAGAAATTTAACATCAAATGCTCCAACTATACCACAAATATATAATATATATTGCAATACCCTTCCATACTTCGACTACTATGATATACACTGTACCTCCAATAATCACCATTAATTTACAATGAATATTCATTTATCATACTTCTAGATATAACATGATATTACAATCACATTAACGTACACCATACTAGCATGTCCTATTGGTAACAATTAGCATCAACACGAAGTGATATTATAGCAGCAAGAAAACGTCTACATACAGATATAGATTGGACCTTTGAGCTATGGCTGTAGTAATATCATATGTTAAGTCATTACCATATAAATGCAAATGCATAACATTGGCTGTACTTACATGTAAAGTCAATCAAACGTAAGGTTAACACCTTATGTCAGTACATTGTAATGTCTTTATCATATAATGATATGGACTAGTGTAAGAACACTGTGAAGTCATTACCATAAGATGATGATAACACGTTATGTTAACACCTAAAATCAGTACATATAATGTCAATACCATGTGATGTTAACAAATGATATTAGTACATTGCAATGTCAACATACCGTAATATTAAAGCAGTGAGAAAATTTCTACATATTGATATGGATTGGACCTTTGAGCAATGGTTCTCACTGCTAGCAATGTTAAATCCTGTTAAGTTAATACCGTGTTAAATGTCAGAACATTTGTGAACTTTAATAAACTGTAAAGCAAATTACATAATGTCAACAACAAGTCACGTCCGTATATTGTAATGTCAGTAACATTTGATGTCAATAACAAGTCATGTTCGTATATTGTAATGTCAGTAACATATAATGTCAATAACAAGACATGTCCGTATATTGTAATGTCAGTAACATATAATGTCAATAACAAGTCATGTCCGTATATTGTAATGTCAGCAACATATAATGTCAATAACAAGTCATGTCCGTATATTGTAATGTCAGCAACATATAATGTCAATAACAAGTCATGTCCGTATATTGTAATGTCAGCAACATATAATGTCAATAACAAGTCATGTCCGTATATTGTAACGTCAGTAACATATAATGTCAATAACAAGTCATGTCCGTATATTGTAATGTCAGCAACATATAATGTCAATAACAAGTCATGTCCGTATATTGTAATGTCATTAACATAAAATGTATATAATGTCTGTATAATCTTATGTCAGTGATATATAATGTTAGAACATTGTTATGTCAGTGATATATAATGTTAGAACATTGTAATGTCAGTGATATATAATGTTAGAACATTGTAATGTCAGTGATATATAATGTTAGAACATTGTAATGTCAGTGATATATAATGTTAGAACATTGTTATGTCAGTAACATATAATGTCAGTACAATGTAATGTTATTAATATTTAATGTCAGTCCATTGTAATGTTATTAATAGATAATGTCAGTACAATGTAATGTCAGTAACATATAATGTCAGTTCAATCTTATGTCAGTGATATGGAATGTCAGTACAATGGATTGTTATTAATATTTAATGTCAGTACATTGTAATGTCATCAATATGTAATGTCAGTACAATCTAATGTCAGTACATTGTAATTAATGTTATTAATATATAATGATAGAACATTGTAATGTTATTAACGTATAATGTCAGTACAATGTAATGTTATTAATATATAATGTCAGTACAATGTAATGTTATTAATGTATAGTGTCAGTCCATTGTAATGTTTTTAATGTATAATGTCAGTACAATGTAATGTTATTAATATATAATGTTAGAACATTGTAATATTATTAATATATTATGTCAGTACATTGTAATGTTATTAACGTATAATGTCAGTACATTGTAATGTTATTAATATATAGTGTCAGTCCATTGTAATGTTTTTAATATATAATGTTAGAACATTGTAATATTATTTATATATTATGTCAGTACATTGTAATTTTATTAATGTATAATGTCAGTACAATGTAATGTTATTAATGTATAATGTCAGTAACATATAATGTCAGTACAATGTAATGTCAGTACAATGAAATGGCAATACAATCTTATGTCAGTGATATGGAATGTCAGTACAATGTATTGTTATTAATATTTAATGTTAGAACAATGTAATGTCATCAATATATAATGTCAGTACATTGTAATGTCAGTAATGTGTAATGTCAACAACATGTAATTTTAAAAACAAACAATTTAAATAGCAAACATACAACATATGAAATTTACCTGGAAGCACAATTTTCTGAATCTTGGATATTTAAGAAAAAGTATTCAGTTTAAAACAACACTGATACAAAATAGAATAAAATATGACTAAGATAAATGTAATAAATTACAATTCAAGGGAAACATTTTACTGAATAAATTACAAAATCACACCGTGGTTCTGGAGTTCTTCAAAAAAACCTAAAGAAAATGATAATGAAAACATGACAAATGGATATTTAAAACATACAAGTTACAAAAAAATTAAAACAAGTTAGTTTAAACTTTTCTTACTCTTACAAGGTAAGATTTAACCATGTAAATTAGAATGATGGCAGACATTATTTTTTTTTTTTTAAAACAATACATCTTAAAAACAATGGTTAACAAAACAAACAAACAAACAAAAAGATTATGAGAGTAAAATATCTACAAATAAGTAACTTGATTTTAAATATCACAGAGGAATGATACATGTGACTTAAATCTACACAAAACCAAGCACCAGGGACATGGTATAACACAGACCATTTATTTTTCCATCCCATTACATCATATTGATTCCGGTACTAAAATAATATATGCCAACAAAATCTGCCAAATTAAACTTCTGCCCTTCGATGATCAATCTATATTTGCTCAGTGGCAATTCTGCATTTCACATGGAATAACATTTACATTGTAAATTTGCTGTAAACATATTTTTGTGTAATGATAAATTCACCCCCATTACTGAGGACAAAAGATGGGAAGTTTTAACTGTGGCAGAAATGTCTTAGTACACAATACAGCCTAAAACCACAGATTATCAGTGAAGTTACAATAGAATGTTTGGAAATCTCTGTTTTAAAATTAATTAATTTTCAAATTTTAACAAAAACATGTTTTTTTTTTTCTTTTTCAATTAGTTAATGTTATATTGTAGAGTAAGATAGGAATGACGAACAACAATGAAGGGTTCTAGGACCCCTTTCTACCACAATTTTGTTGAGTGTTTCGGATGATCAACATCATTTTAACATGACGAGTATGGTCGCTTAAGAACCTCTTTAGGGCAACAAGTTTAATTGGTATATTACATGCAAATATTACATATTGTGTTTAAACCTTTATACACAAATTTTATTTAACAGTACTTCAAATGTGACAGAACTCATCAGTTTTAACCACTTGATGCAGTGTAACTAGGTCAATACCATCAATTTTAACCACTTGATGCAGTGTAACCTGGGTAATACCATCAATTTTAATCACTTGATGCAGTGTAACCTGGGTAATACCATCAATTTTTTGCCCATTTCATTCACATTAAAATGATTTCATGGGCATGGTGCGTCTGGTGCACTAGTTCTATTTTTATGGTACGGCAGTGTGGGAGAAAAGTAATCAATTACTCATGTGTGGTACAGACAGAGAAATGTCAACCCTCGAGACATTTGAAGACTAGGACCTAGCAAAGCCTTGTGCAAATCTTCAGAAATCTTACCCTTGTGTTGGTATTTCTGTCTACAATCACACAGGAATGATAGATTCTGTTTCTCTGTCTACATCACACAGGAGTGATATATTATATTTCTCTGTCTACAATCACACAGGAATGATAGATTATATTTCTCTGTCTACATCACACAGGAGTGATAGATTATATTTCTCTGTCTACATCACACAGGAGTGATACATTCTATCTCTCTGTCTACATCACACAGGAATGATAGATTATATTTCTCTGTCTACATCACACAGGAATGATAGATTCTATTTCTCTGTCTACATCACACAGGAGTGATAGATTCTATAAATTTACTACCAAATACAGGGCAGAGCTTATTACCAGGTATGGGCTTGTCATGGTAAACTATGGTACTGTTAAGGGAAACTTCTCGTTTAATTTACAGATTGGACATGAGAATATTATGGTTTGAAAGTCTTTTAACAGGCAATGTAAAACCAAAGCCTAGATAAAGCTGTACACATTAAATCAATACTAGATACATATCATAATGATATTAAAAATTATTCCAATAACTCTGTATTTCTTATTATAATATCAAATTGTGTAAAAATATTTGATGGTTTTCAAAGACGAAATTTATATACTGATGTCGTTTGTGTATCCTATGTATTAATATAACATTTCTTTATCATTTGAGTGTGTGTTACATTAAACTTTCTGATATGCAATAAAATCCAAATCAACAAGACATATATCCACACAAATGCAAAAACTGCATTATTGATTAAAATACAAATATCTTTGATATTGGCATAATCAGAAACCCAGTGCTGATATAGATATCCTGTATACTCTGCTTGACAAATAATAGTCCTGTCTAATGTCATTCATTGATATGGAAAGGTTGATATGATATAATTCTTATCCCATATAAAAAGTAAACCTTACAATTTCATCCATATATATAAATATATATTTCTACCATGATGGTTTATTGGGTAACAAACAGTGTTTAAAAAGTTTTATCTATGCAAAACAGCATCCAGGAATCCTTGTGGGTTTTTTCGTGATGAGCTCTTAAAATTTAATTCATATTAGGGAACACTAAAAGTTGGAAGGTACCCAGAATGACCAGGTTCTAAGACTGACTGGGACCCCGAATAACCAGGTACTCCAATAACTAGAACACTGACTTGTGTCAGCAAGGGCCTCCATTTCCCAAACCATACCGCCCCCCCCCCCCCCTTTTTGTTTTGTTAATATCAGTGACATTACCCTCAAAAACTTCAAAAACACTATTGCACATTTAAATAACACAGTGTATCATCATGTAAAATTTCATACCCTCAGCTGTACGGTCTATTTGGTATCAGTGACCTTGACATTGACTTTAGACACTTTTTAAACCCCTATTACATACCTACACATCGCAGTTTATCACCATGGCAAATTTCAGAAAGTCAAGTCTTTTGGATTCTGAGAGAATCTATTTATGCTGAAATAACGTTTTGTAATTTAAGTAAAAATCTTTGTTTTTATTAGAGATTTTATAACAAATTGTTATTTAAACCACATACCATCAACACTTGTATCTTAATTTACTCATATAATTTTAGGAAAGCATCTTTCTTTTGCTGTATCGTTTGCTGTAATTCACACCAATGTAAACTTGTAGCTTTTGTCAATATCTTTGATACAATTTCTTCAATCTTCCTGACAGGTATGACAACATTTTAACAAACAAACTCCAATTCAGTGAAATCTGATTGATTCATCCGTAACTTTAAGAAGAATAACTAAATGCTTATTTGCTGGGCCAAATGTACATCATCCTACATTGAGAAATTATAAGCTAATAATTCTAGGTACTTCGATCTTACCACACAAAAATGCTAAAGCAATACTATTGCATTTTAAACAAACATAAAAAGATTTTGTGTTTGAAATATTTCAGCATGTTTGAAGTACTTCAGTATGTTTGAAGTACTTCAGTATTTGAAGGCTCCACAAGAAGCAGCCTTGCGTATAAACTCCTTGACAATGACTTCGTCTAAATTACCGAAAGCCTCTGATTGAGTGACGACTGTCATGTGATTCAAGGCAAAACGGAAACAGAAATCTTCCAGCTCCTGTTTGCAAAAAAAAGAAAAAATGTAGGCAAAAGGATCATACTTAATAAATATAATTTCAGTCTGTCAAGTTTATTCTTAAGTGTGATTGCATATTTAAGAGGAATAAGTCCCCCTGAACCATTATAATGTGAAAAGTTGAATTCCAAGCAGTTATCAAGGCAATGTCAACTTGTGAAGTAAAGAAAAACTTCCAACATTATTGTCTTTCAGATCTTTAAGCATAGGACAGTTTATATATTCTTCAAACAGTAAAGGCCAATTAAAGTTTAATATATCCACCAATCTAAAGACAACAAAGTAGATTCTGTAAAAGGTGTTTGTTAAAAACTGCAACATTTGTATCAGTTTTAACAAATTTATCTTGGTAAAAATTGTGCTCATTGAAAAAGGTGTTTTCCATGGGCATAGGGAGAGATATCTTTATATAGATAGATAGCCCTTACAAAAACGTTTATTACTCTCCACCATCAACAATAAATATTTTCTTGAAACCAACATTAAAGAAATTCTGTATACTGGAAAACATTTGCCCAATCAAAATTTTGCCCTTCGCCAGAATAATCCATATTCACCCAGTGTTCATTTTGCCCTCCGCCAGAATAATTCATATTCACCCAGTGTTCATTTTGCCCTTCGCCAGAATAATCCATATTCACCCAGTGTTCATTTTGCCCTTCGCCAGAATAATCCATATTCACCTAGTGTTCATTTTGCCCTTCGCCAGAATAATCCATCTTCACCCAGTGTTAATTTTGCCCTTCGTCAGAATAATCCATATTCACCCAGTGTTCATTTTGCCCTTTGCCAGAATAATCCATATTCACCCAGTGTTCATTTTGCCCTTCACCAGAATAATCCATATTCACCCAGTGTTCATTTTGCCCTTCATACTGAATGTCTGTGCATCTTATATTGTTTACTAATGTTCACTGTTTTGATCAATATCTTTTACATTATATCGGGCGAAAAAGGTGAAAATTATACAGCATTGTAAATTACTCCAGTATACAGCATTATAGACACCTAAATGTTCAAATTGATGACTTGAATGTTATCCAAATTTTACCTTGGCCTCAAACTTGATGGCAGCAGCATACAACATGGCAACATTTTCCACGGTGATGCCTTTCTTTATGATCTGCTCACAGTGTTTCTTCAGTGAACACTCACAGTAAGAGTTGGAAAGGTCCAAAAGGCCTGTGTAGATCAACAACACGTTCAACTTTGATAATGTCAAAACACTGGAATTAGCAATACTTTATAGATCTGTGTAGGTCAACAACATGTTAAACTTTGATAATGTCAAACAATGGAATTAGCAATACTTTATAGATCTGTGTAGGTCAACAACACGTTAAACTTTATTTTAAATTTGATAATGTCAAACGATGGAATCAGCAATACGTTGTATTAATTTTTCTATTATATCAAAATCAAGAAAACTATCTACAACAATCATCAGTTTAGAAGACAAATTAAGAACATTTACAGTCTTGTAGAACCCTTGTGGTTTTACTCAGTAACTAGTACTGGTAACATTTAAATTATAGGGAGGGTGGATATCAGCATAATGTTGAGGAGAGGGAACAAATTATAAATGATTTGTAGCTGTTCAAAGAGGCCATCTGAAACAACAACTGCATACACAGTACAGGCAGTGAAAATGTAACAGATGAAATCATTATTTCATTGTTCACTTGAAATAATCTGTGTTAAAACTGTAAAAGCAAAATGTAGTGTTATATAAAATGTTAGAGATCACACTGACAGTAATATAAAATGTTAGAGATATCACTGACAGCCTGGATGTGTGTGGATAACTGCAGGTTCTACCATGAGTTTGAGAGAAGCTTAGATTAACTGCTAGGTCTATAGAAAAAAACATTAATGATCAATTGAAGATCTACGAAGTGTTTAAAACCAGAGATGGTGTCAAAGCCGCCAAATGCTCGCCTGTTTAATTTTTTTATCGTATCTAAAAATTTGTTTGTAAAAATGTAAAGTTCAAAACAGGTCAAAAGTGTAGAAAAATTGAAACTATTTTTAATTTTAACTTCACTTCATCAATATTTTACCGCACAGGAACCTCTATGCAAAATATCAGCATTGCAGTACACATTTTTTTTTTCAAATATTTTACTTCCTCAGAAAGTGTTTACGGAGGATGTCAGGGTTGAGGAGCACTGGGATCATCCCCTTTACAGTGTGTTGTCCTCTCACAGGAGGGCTTTCAGTCAACATTCGTCTTTCTTTCACTTTCTTTCATCATATATCATAAATTGAATGGAGATACTGAAACATTTGAACCTAACATAAAGGACGCACACTTACTTGCATTGATACACACAACATGTACATACATGTACAATAACTGTATACAAACATACACACACATATATATATATACATTGATAGACACAAAACATATAACATAAATAAACAAATTTACATACAAACATACATTTGAAAACATGAGACAACACTAACATAAATAAGTATAAATTATGTGTAAAAGTTGTCTATTCTCCGGTTGTGTTATTAAGAAGAACTACTGTTAGGTAGGTCATTGTATACCACTTATATCAATGAAATGATCTCTGTAGATATTTGAGTGTGTACAAAGCATACTTATGAATAAAAATTTTTACTGTTATTGTGCATATAATATGGCATATTGTCATATTTATTGAATGACAAGCTTCTAAATAACTTGCAGTTCAAACTTTAACGTTGATGTGCTTCAAAATAATTCAAAAGTACAAAATTTGTGAAATTATTTATAAATTTTCACTTCACTTCATCAATCATATGTATACCCCACAGGAACCACAATGCTAAATATCAGCATCCTAGTACAGAAATTTAATGAATGACAAGCTTCTAAATAACTTGCAGTTAAAACTTTAACGTTGATGTGCTTCAAAAAAGTACAAAACAGGTGGAAAATTTCAAAAATTAGAAATTATTTATTAATCTTAACTTCGCTACATCAATAGTATACCCCACAGGAACCACAATGCTAAATATCAGCATCCTAGTACACAAATTTAATGAATAACAAGATTCTAAATAACTTGCAGGTAAAACTTAAACATTTTCACGCTGACACTCCTGCTTGAGAGAAGCAGAGATTACCTGTGGGTCTACCAAGAGTTTGAGAGAAGCAGAGATTAACTGTGGGTCTACCAAGAGTTTGCGAAAAGCAGAGATTATATTGTACCTGTGGGTCTACCAAGAGTTTGAGAGAAGCAGAGATTACCTGTGGGTCTACCAAGTGTTTGAGAGAAGATTATTTGGATGACTTTCCTTACCTATAGCTTCCTCTGGTCTCAGGTCCACCACGTCTGTGTACAGATATTGGAGGAATGCCCGGTATACATTGTAACTAAACTGGCTGATCTCAATGAAACTGTAAAAAATAAAGTCATCATTTTAAGGTTTATTCAATAAACCAGCTAACAAATTAACACACAAAGATGTTTCTGACAGGCATCCTGGCTACTGTCTCTGAGTGATCAACAAATGCCGAGAGTACCGAAGCACCATTTCTGTAAGAGTAAGAAAGCATGTTGTTATAAACAGTTCTGTTACAAAAATCTTATTTTTTGTTTGGTTATAGGAACCAACCCATAGATATATTTACATGTGTCTGATATCGTATACAACTTAACCGATAAATCCTTGTTTTAACAACAGTTTTACCTCACAAGAATATTGTTTCAGAAAGTCACCAAGAAGCCATAATCGAAAACAGTAAATAAGACAAATCAAGCAATATGACCTATCAATCAACCACTTGTTGTTCTTTTGAATGGATTGTTGCAAATAGCATTCTACTGGTTTTATAGTTGTGGTTTATCTACTTCCTGGTGTAGATGACCCTGGGTCAAATCTTCGGGATCACTCAGAAAAGAAAACATGAAATCATTTTAAACTCAGATGATCTATAAATTTGAGCATTCACTCTATGCTATATTATGTTATATATATATACACTTATGTTTACTTACTCTTTGCCATCCTCCTCCCAGCAAGATTGGAACATAGTTTTAAAATGTTCACACCTGGTTCATGACAAAAACAATCTAATTAAAATTATATCTTCACATCGCTCCCGTTTACTGATATGTCGCGTTGATGACAAAAAATAATTTGGTTATAATAATTATAAGTCAGAAAACAGTGAAATTGTATTATGGAATTCTGATTATTTAGTAGGATAATTTAAATTAGGTAAAAACGCCTTTAACTGATAAATATCTAGGTCTTAAAATTGGAAAACAAAATGACAATTATATAGTTATTTTTAATTTTCTTTTCCAGAAAAAATAAATAAAATGATATCTATTGAGAATAATATCAAACTGATTATGACACAAATGGAGTTTATTTAAAGCACAGTATGATCTTACTTTGAGCTTTGTACAAAGATTAATATATAATTATAAGTACATTGTAGTTAATCAGTGAATAACTAATTGGAATCCTACCTTATCTTCAGTATAGCTTTATGGACATGTATAGTTTTTCCTTCTACAATAAACTTTATGTCAGATGTTGTCTGTGAACAGAAATATGTCACAATAAATATTTGCTTTACAATGGATAGAACCCAACCTCATACATGTGTATACAAAGTGAGATTTCTCAATTATTTCCTACATCACAAAGTCACATTTCACCACTAATCCTGTACATATTATAATTTGACTCATATAAATATTATCATATTACATTGGTATGTTTGCTTTACCAAAATAATTAATGTTCGGTGAGTATTATAAAATCAATTTTAACTTAGCTACATCTTGTTAGACATTTTTTCATAAAAGATTATTGAAATCTGTTTAAAAAGTTTTTCCCAGTATGCTAAGCTGAAATATCTTAAAACTCTTTTATTACTTTCATATAAAATATTGTTCAATCAAAAACATCCTGATCTATATTTATCAACGATGATCACACAAAAACGTGGCATTTATTGTTCATTACTTACCGAATCATCAAAATTTCTGGTAACATCCTCTGCAATCTTACTTCCCCGCATTTGATCTACAATTAACGAGTAGACCAGTTATATGATTTAAAAATATAATATATATAATTTTTCGAAATGAATTAAAGAAAAAGGTTATATATTGAAAAAATGTGTACCAAAAGGCAAAACTTTAATCAATATATACACAACATCTTTTGGATAGACATGTCACCATTAGAAATCATTTGGTCCATATTTCTTTTCTTTTTCTTTTGTCCATAATTTGGTATATCATCATACATTCAATATTCTTAGGGGATATAATTTTCCACACTGATTAAATGATCCATATATGTATGTTAGAGATCAGCGGATAACCTAACCATACATTACATTCTCCACATAATTAATAGACAAGGGAGATAACATACTCACAATGTACATCTTCCACATGGGTGATAGACAAGGGAGATAACCTACCCACACAGTACATCCTCAACGTGATTAATAGACAGGGGAGATAACATACTCACAAAGTACATCTTCCACATGGGTGATAGACAAGGGAGATAACCTACCCACACAGTACATCCTCAACGTGATTAAAAGACAGGGGAGATAACTTACCCACACAGTACATCCTCAACAAGATTAATATACAGGGGAGATAACCTACCCACACAGTACATCCTCAACGTGATTAAAAGACAGGGGAGATAACTTACCCACACAGTACATCCTCAACAAGATTAATATACAGGGGAGATAACCTACCCACACAGTACATCCTCAACGAGATTAATAGACAGGGAAGATAGCCTACCCACACAGTACATCCTCAACATGATTAATAGACAGGGGAGATAACCTACCCACACAGTACATCCTCAATGAGATTAATAGGCAGGGAAGATAACCTACCCACACAGTACATCCTCAACATGATTAATAGACAGGGGAGATAACCTATCCACACAGTACATCCTCAACGTGATTAATAGACAGGGAAGATAACCTACCCACAAAGTACATCCTCAACATGATTAATAGACAGGGGAGATAACCTACCCACACAGTACATCCTCAACGAGATTAATAAACAGGGGAGATAACCTACCCATACAGAACATCCTGCACGTAATTAATAAACAGGGGAGATAACCTACCCACACAGTATATCCTCCACGTGACAGGAGGGGAAGCAAATGCAGAGAGAACATCATCTGTGCAGTGGAACTTGGTGAGAATGGCCGAGGTAATGGACTGACTGCGACACTGACCCCACATATATACATTCCCAGTCTCTGTCAGTGACGACGAAACATGAGCATAATGACTTGCTGCAACTTCCACCATCCTACAGAAGGATAAATAAGGCCATATCTTAATTATGTTAATTCAATAAGAAAATTGCATTGTTATTATGATCTATTATATTTTCTAAAGTTCCTTTTAATCTTATTTTAAAAATGTATTCCAAATACTCAATCATCTGTCATTCTCTTATTTTTATAGTCATTTTCACATATAATTCATAAGAACATCATCTGTACATGCCTCTATACAGAGTAAAATACACATAAGCTTATCAAACACCAAATATTTAATTGCTCTGATATATTGCGTTTACCCATTTTAACATCACATACCTTTCCCCTTTAGTTTCCACCCTGGTCGGAGCCACTTGGTTTGCCTTGTTTCCCGTCCCCAATTGTCCATAGGAGTTGGCTCCCCATGTGTACAGGACTCCTTCATCAGATAAAGCTAGAGTGTGGGCATACCCACAAACCAACTAACAAGACAAAAATGTAAATTAGAAATATAGCATTTCATTTCTCTTTTAACTATTAATGGTACGTACTGCGTTGTTTTATTTCACACCAGAACCGAAATTGTAACTGTGCTCAGAAAAGAAAAATGGACAAAGGTCATTCATTTGAACAAACTTGGTAGCCCTTCATCCCAGCCTCTCGGTTATTCAGAAGAAGTTGTTTAAAGGTTTTAAACAAATTTGACCCCTGTGACCTTGAATATAAATCAAGGTCATTTATTTGAACAAACTTGGTAGCCCTTCATCCCAGCATGTTACTGGCCATATATCATCACCCTAGGCCTATCAGTTATTCAGAAGAAGTCGTTTAAAGGTTTTAAACATATTTGACCCCTGTGATCTTGAACATAAATCAAGGTCATTTATTTGAACAAACTTGGTAGCCCTTCATCCCAGCATGTAACTGGCCAAATATCATCACCCTAAGCCTCTCGGTTAATCAGAAGAAGTCGTTCAAAGGTTTTAAAGATATTTGACCCCAGTGACCTTGAATATAAATCAAGGTCTTTTTTTTAATAAACTTGGTAGCCCTTCATCCCAGCATGCTTCTGGCCAAATATCATTACCCTAGCCCTTTTGGTTACTGAGAAGAAGTTGTTTAAACTTAAAAGTTGACGACAGACGGACGGACGACGGACGCCACACCATGGCATAAAAATGTTATTGACCCTGTACCTTACCTGTGAGATGATGATGCCCTGTAGATGCCCTGTTGACCCTATACTTTACCTGTATGAAATGTGTACACACCTGTCAGATGATAATACCCTATACCTTGCCTGTATGAGAGGTTGACTTACCTGTGAGATGATAATACCCTGTATCTTACCTGTATTAGAAGTTGACTTACCTGTGAGATAATAATACCCTGTATCCTACCTGTAGTAGAAGTTGACTTACCTGTGAGATGATATACCCTGTATCTTACTTGTATGAGAGGTTGACTCACCTGTCAGATGATAATACCCTGTACCTCACCTGTATGAGAGGTTGGCTTACCTGTCAGATGATAATACCCTGTATGAGAGGTTGACTTACCTGTGAGATGATAATGCCCTGTACCTCACCTGTATGAAAGGTTGACTTACGTTTGATATGATAATCCCTGTAACTCACCTGTATGAGAGGTTGACTTACCTGTGAGACGATAATGCCCTGTACCTCACCTGTATGAGAGGTTGGCTTACCTGTGAGATGATAATACCCTGTACCTCACCTGTATGAAAGGTTGACTTACATGTGAGATGATAATGCCGTGTACCTCACCTGTATGAGAGGTTGGCTAACCTGTGAGATGATAATACCCTGTACCTTACCTGTATGAGAGGTTGACTTACCTGTGAGATGATAATTCCCTATACCTCACCTGTATGAAAGGTTGACTTACATGTTAGATGATAATGCCGTGTACCTCACCTATATGAGAGGTTGGCTAACCTGTGAGATGATAATACCCTGTACCTTACCTACATGACAGGTTGACTTACCTGTCAGATGATAATCCCCTGTACCTTACCTGTATGAGAGGTTGACTTACCTGTGAGATGATAATTCCCTATACCTCACCTGTATGAAAGGGTGACTTACCTGTGAGATGATAATACCCTATACCTCTCCTGTATGAAAGGTTGACTTACCTGTGAGATGATAATGCCCTGTACCTCCCCTGTATGAGAGGTTGACTTACCTGTCAGATGATAATGCCCTGTACCTTACCTGTATGAGAGGCTGACTTACCTGTCAGATGATAATACCCTTTACCTTACCTGTATGAGAGGTTGGCTTACCTGTCAGATGATGATGTCCTGTACCTCCCCTGTATGAGAGGTTGGCTTACCTGTGAGATGATAATACCCTGTACCTTACCTGTATGAGAGGTTGACTTACCTGTGAGATGATGATGCCCTGTAGACCCTGTACCTTACAGGGATTTGGTTGGTTTACATTATTGCCCAGTCCTAGCTGACCATTTCCATTGTATCCCCAGCCAAACACCTGAAAATATTCATTTGATTACATTGTTGTATTTCAATTCAGTATTCATACACAATAAAGTATGAATAACCAAAATAACTATGACAGGTGTAATTTGTTATAACTATGTAATTTTTTTCCTAGCAGGTATTGTTGATTGACCCTATGAGCTATATTACACTTCTGTCACCCACTATTTACAAACTGATTATCTGTCCACAACGATATCAAGGATGAAAACATGGCACACACACCACGTACCATCCTCACAATGGAATACTTATTCCCCATTCTGAGAGTAGAACAGAAAATCACAAACCTCCAAGTAAAATTCATCAATTGTCATTAATTCTTCTTGGCCCCTTGAATTGAGATTTCTTTTTCTGTCTTAACTCCAAAATGAAGAACGATTTTGTTTGCCTACAATGCTACATGTATCTAACAACAGTCTAGATTGTGTTTCATTCTGTGTTAACCTGTGCCATTACAATTTCTGTGAGTACCTTGTTGTGAGATACCATGTAATTAATCTTCACTGTTGGTAAAAAGTTCAGTAAGTAAAGAAGGGGTTTGTGTGTTGAAGATCTTTGGAGAATTAACAGCTTCATATATATATATATGAAGAGATTCATCACTGTGTGTATTTTTACACCTCAGACAGAGATATCCCACGTCATACCCCATTCTAGATTTTTCTATCTTGTCCGATCTGTCTTGTACCTTTACGTGACATTTCGCGGAATTTTTACACTACGATGTATTCATCCACGCGTTAACTGCTTAAAATTGACAATTTGCATTATAAATGTTCTGTTTTGTCGTTATTGTATAGTTTTGATGTTGTTAGATATTTGATGTTGTAGATAAAATATAGTCTACACTGTGAAATACGTTGTAAACTATGTAAGGACAGACTACTTTTTTAAGCGGAAGCATTCAAATGTAGCTTAAGTAGTGAAGAGGTCATCATCATTTGAGGCCCAAGGCAGGATACTTATAGTTTTTAGCAAAATTGAATAGTTCTTTTTGAACTAAAAGGTGCGGGAAAAAAAATCAGTTACAGGTAATAGATTTTATTAATCTAGATACCTGCACAGCATAACATTTAATTTCCTATCTTATGACTATTCAGATATAAATACATGGTGGATAGTGACTTACCGGTACTTTTTGGGACTCCATTTAGCCATCATTTGTTTGCTTCCCCTAGCCTTACACAACTAGCACACAAGAGTTATATTGTACAGTAAATAACAATTATTTCAGAGCCAATCACTCATACATTTTCAATTCATAAAAGTGCTTCTCTGCTCACTTCTCTCCCTAATAACATAAAAATAGGTACTAAAATTTGTGAACTATTATTGTGATAATGTAAGAAATGTACTTGGTTGCCATTTAATTTAACTTATACTTAGATATTTATAAATCAGTTTATCCTGTACATATAACAGATGTCATGACGAGTGGTAAGAGATTCTCATGACTTACCTCTCCACTGTCCATTAGGGCCATCGTGGATGTCTGACCACAAGCGATGGACGTCACAAACTTGGTTCCTGTCAGTAAACACCATTATCACATTATAACTACATTTGTATACAAGGGTATTGTATTAATCATAGAGTATCTTTAATAAAACAACATTTTGGATATTGAGGATTAATTGAAAAGGTCATATACGATATATTAATAATCCCTGATAGTAAAAATTCATGCATTATAGTTGATTCATGAAATCTTTCATTCACAAAATTTTCTTTAGAAAGAAATCTTGCCAGCAACTGGCAGCAAGTTAACTGACCTATGACTGCCATGACCTTCCTGGGTGTAGACTGGTTAGTGGTGGTACCAGACCCCACCTGTCCACAGTTGTTCTGTCCCCATGCGTAAATCTGGACATAAGAGGTCAACACAAATTCAGCTAAAGATGGGTTATTTATAACAATAACTTATGATCTCTGGAAAAACCTAGGCATGAAAATCTAACAAAAGGTCAGAACTTTGCATATACATTCTGTACTGGGGCACGAAAGACAAGTTTAGCATGCCACACTCTACCATTCAAACAAGCAGTCAGGATTCAGAAACCATAAAATCAACATGATTAAATGACATTAACTATTAAAACTGCCGCATTTTATAATAACATGTGACATTAACAGACAGATGAAATCTGCAATACAGACTCTACTTATCAATTGATACATTAAGAAAAGAGTCGGGTCAGTCCTTACCTCTCCTTCTTGTGTGAGGGCAACAGAATGATGGCTACCACACGCGACCTTGGTAACCTTCTTGCCCTGGAGGTTAGTGCTGACAAGGAAGGGAAAGAGTCCCTGCATTGAGCCTCCATTACCAAGCTGGCAGTAACCATTATGGCCCCAGCTGTACACTTCACCAACTGTGATGGAAGGGAGACAATCAGTTAAATTAATTTAAGAGAATCTACTGCAGATAATGTTAAGGATGTTTAAAAATTTCTTCTCAGAGGGAATGTACAACAAACAGGGAAGATAATGAACAATTGTATTGACAGTCTTATGTATAGAAAACAGTTAATGACACAAACTTCGAGTTGAGCTGCTATGTATTCATGTAACGATGCATCAATTCAATCTTAAGTTGCTAGCTTATATTGTAGTATCAATATTCCTTCGACTAAGTCGTTATGTGATCATTATACAGCACACGTACATTATGTTTGCACAAGTTTAACAGAGGCTATCATATGAAGGTATGGCATTCTATCATATTTGTTTGGATTGGAATTTCTTTGGGTATGAAACTTACTGTAAATGTTATGCATCAAGGAATTATATCTATTCATACCTAACTTCGAGCTGACGCACAACAAGAAAAATTTGATTTTTTTCAGCGTAATTGATGCTATTCACAGCCCTTACCAGCGGTGACGGCTAGAACATGAGGTCCACTTCCAAAGGCTATATCTACTACATTCTTCTTACATAAGACTTCTATCTTCTTTGGCTCAAAGCTGCTTCCAGCATCACCTAATACAATATATATTTGAAAATCAGTTACAAACTTAACTTGTGCATCATGTATAGGCAAACAATAGAATTATCATATAATTATTCAACTCTGAATTATTATTGTAATTTATCGTAACATTAACGGCAACCACAAGAACATTGGACATTGAATTATACTGTATATAGATAATGTGTTCCCTAAAACCCCAAAATGAGGGTTCTGTAATTTACCTCCAAAAAATGTGGGTGTACGTGTACTCTCCTGTCTTACCGTATTTAACCACAAATAAGCCCCCACCTGTAGGGGCTTAATTGCAAGTACCTCATCTTGGACATACCACTGTTTTAATCTATGACCACACTAAATGTCATGTACTAATTACCGGTATATAATCTAATACCTGGGGCCAAGTGGGGGTAAAGGTTTTTGAAAATTTATAAATTAACCACCACATTATACAAAATGTATGGAAAACTGAAATACATAGTATCTGGAAGATGGCCACTGCAGATTACACCAAGATCTCCTGGATTTTTTTTAAAAAGTTATGGCCAGTTTATAATGTTGCTTTGTACAGTGATTTTTGGAGCATAGATATCTGAGTCCCAGATTAGTGCTTTTTCTATGGAACTCATCAACGTTTTGAAAACCAATTATATCTCATAGTAGGTTATTGGGACCTTTCAGAATTGTGGAACTGTTCGGGTAACACTAGAAAAAAACATCCAAAAACACTGAATTGTATCAGCACAAATTATTTGATTAAGCACACATGTAATTGAAATATTAATCAAGAGGTACATATACCTAGACCTAGGCAGGCACTGCAGTTAGATCCAAAGGCAAACACTTCATCATCATCTGTGATATAAACAGCTTCATTACCGGAACTTCCAAACACACAGATCTTTTTGATTTTCAGCAGATTAGCTATGTTCAGGATGCTGAAGATTGGCCACTTGTTGACATCCATTAGACAATCTGTTATCCTGTTCTGGAGTTACTGATTGTATAATCACATCAGCTGTCACTTCAGTATTATCCTGGGTCCTAAAAATTCAAAGTTCAATGGTTTATCCAACCAAACATGACTCGATATCCATACAAAAGTAACGGTGATAGTTACTGATTCCTAGTGATGGGCAAGATCGGTTTAAAGTCATAATCAATAATCGGTTTGAAAATAGAAGTAGTAAACTGATCGATGATCAATTGCATAATCCGTAAATCGGTTTATAATTTGTTGGGACTGAATACCGAAATAAATTGAAAAACTACTATTACATCATCAGACAGAGTTGTTAACTATAAATTAGGTTTCGTTCTTTTATAATGAATGGATATCAATGCAAGCAACTTTTATGTATTTTTAAATAATTTGATTTCAATGATGAACCGATTATATCGATTATGGAATTTGTAATCGATAATCAGAATCGGAAAGGGCAAACTGATAAATTTTCGAACATAATCAATCATCACTACTGATTCCAGTCAAATTTGGTAAAATTTTAGTTAAAAGAAATTGTTGATGGATGGATGATGGTCATATCTCAGGTCTGAATCCACACCTCATTGTAGATGTCTTTAGAAAATACCATTAAAAGAAGTAAAATATTTCTGCACTATGTGCTATTCAAGAATTACTTGCATTGTCTGTATTGGGTATTGGAGATGTAGTGTAACAGGAAAGAGAATAGTGTGCTTCCACCGGGGATCGAACCCTCGATCTCCAGGTTCCTAGTCGGACGCTCTACCACTGAGCTAAAGGGAAATTCCCCCTAGCTCGAAGCTAGAAGGCGACCTTAATCCTATGTACAATTGAACCCTGCCACACTACTCCCCCCTTTTTAAATGTGTTCGCCCTCGAACACCACAACCCAGGTTCTAACTCCCTGTCACCACAGGGAGGGCCACGGACACCATTTGTAACAGGAAAGAGAATAGTGTGCTTCCACCGGGGATCGAACCCTCGATCTCCAGGTTCCTAGTCGGACGCTCTACCACTGAGCTAAAGGGAAATTCCCCCTAGCTCGAAGCTAGAAGGCGACCTTAATCCTATGTACAATTGAACCCTGCCACAC